CTAGCCTGAGCAATGGCGAAGCACTAAGCAACTCAGACCCTGTCTCTAAATAAAATACAAAACAGGTGGGGATGCGGCTCAGTGGGCAAATGCCCCTCAGTTCAATCCCCGGATGTAGCTCAGTGGTAGAGTTCTTGCCTAGCAAGTGCAAGGTGCTGGATTTAATCCCCAGTACGGAAGGAAGGAAGGAAGGGAGGGAGGGAGGAAGGAAGGAAGGAAGGAAGGAAAGAAAAAAGAAAAAAGAAATTGGGCAAAAGCCCTAAGCAATTACTGAGACTCTGTCTCAAAATAAAAAGGGCTTGGGAGTAGTTAAGCACCCCTGGGTTCAATCCCTAGTAGAAAGGAAGGAAAGGAAAGAGGGAGGGAGGGAGAGGGGAAGGAGAGAAAGAGAAAAGAAAGAGGGAAGGAATGAATTGGACAACATTCCAAATCAAGGTCAGTTGCAAACACTCAAAATACTGTGTTAATACTGTAAGACAATTTGAGGAATACTGGCTGGGAGAATCTAGTTATGGATTTCAGTCTATCTCTATAAATTCTACTATAAAAGAATTTGTGCTTTATATCTTTCATTAGTGGGAATTGGGAATTAAATCAAATGTGATGCCATAAAAATGCATCTGAAAGTATAAATTCATTGATAAATACAGATCTGATATTATGGTAGACCTATGTTTGATTTAAGTTCTTAAAAACAATGTTTGGGCAGGCCTATTTACTTTTAAAATCCTTTCTCTTTTAATTTAATGTGGTTTTTATAATATTTAGACTTGCTATTTCCCATAGAAGAAGATAATACTAAATTTTTCCATTTCTTATTTCATACATATTTCTAATATAATTTTTCTTAGTTTTTTTGCCAGTCGTGCTCTTGGTTCACATGGTATTGCTGTACCAGAACCCTTACAAACACCATGGAAACTGATCTTACTATAATTGCTCTTTTCTACTATCCTTTGGAAGGTTCAAAGTCTATAAACAGGTGAGATATATTACTGCTAATAATTATATACAAATATCTAAGACATGCTTTTGAAAAATATTAAATATCAATATATTATAATATCCACTAGACCCCCTAATGTTCTCCCATTAAGTCAGAGTTATGAGAACCACAGATTTTCAGTGGGTACAGCATATCAGGAAATAGATAATACATTCAATCTGGATAGTTAAAGACTTTAATAAAAGAACTATTTACAAAGATATAAACAATATTTAGAAAAGCCAATAAAAAATACCACAGTACCCCAGGGCTAGTCACAACAGGAATTCTTTTATCTCCAGGCTCTAAGGAGCTAGGAGAAGAAACAGTTACTGGGATTCACACAGAGCTGTAACTATTAAGAGAAAGCTTCAACAGGAGACAGGCACAGCCAGCATTTAGCAGCAGCAAGGAGACCACCAAGAAAATAAATAATCCTGACTCACTCCCCTCCCATCTTTCAGTTAGCTCAAACCAATCAGAAGCCAGAAGACAAGGCAGACCATTGATGTTATACCATGCAGGTCAGCCTCGCCACACACAGCAGGTAAAGTGTGGAGAACACATCTGGAAGGGCAGTTAGAAAACACTCTGACCCAATTTGGTTTCATATGAACCAGAGAAGTAAATACTTTGCCTTTCTTCAGAATTTGGATTTTATTTTATAGGTATTAGAGAACCACTGCAGGTTTTTGAGAAGAATGACATTATCAAATCTGATTTCAAAAGAATTTTCTTATAGTAGCAATATTTAGGATACACTGAAAGGGAGAAAGCCAGAATTGGGGAGTCTAGTTAAAACTGTAGTATCCACTCTTCCCACATAAAAAGTGGGAAGAGAGGGAATGGGAAGGAAACAAAGATGGACGTGTAGAATGAGAAGTTGCTATCTAAGATGACTCCAAAATTTTAAGGTGAAAAAACTTAAGTGATACTACCATTAAATAGGGATGGTGGCACGCCCATGCCCATCCCAGCTGTTCAGGAGTCTGAGGCAGGAAGACTGCAAATTCAAGGCCAACCTTGGCAACTTAGCAAGACCTTGTCTCAAAATTATTTAAAAAAAAAAAAAGGGCTGAGGAAGTAGCTCAATAGTAGAGCTCATGCACTGGGTTCTGTGCCCAGTACACCCTCCCCTCATCCAACACATAGAGTACAATGAACAGGTTTGGGGTATTGTGGGTATTTTGCCAAACACTTTGATTTTCAGTGGCAGTATGTGATCTATGGTAGAAATGTTCAGAAAGGAGTAAAATGTTTTCTAAGTCTGAAAACCTAGAGAAAGGTCAAGACAAGAATTATACATTTGGGAATCCTCTATGTAGTTTCACTATCTAGAAAGTTACATTTAATCAATCTGCCTATCAAACCAAGCCACAAGTATGATTTATTTCACATATATAGTATTTAAAAAAAAAAAAAAAACTACTTAGCAAAGTTTTTTTAAATTGGGAGCTCTTACATAAAAATCTAGATTTCTGGAACTGGGGGTGAAGTTCAATGGTAGAATTGTTATCTAGGATGCACAAGACCTGAGTTCCACCTCCAGCACCACAAAAAGAAAAGACAAAACCTAGATTTTTTCTGATTTCTCTTTAAATTGGAAGGCATAATAACATTCTGGACTAGGTTTCCTTAATGACAGTTACATAGTCTCCACTCAACTTGCATCACTCATTTTTGTTACTTACCTGATTTCTATAAGCCTTTGAATTTGTTATTCTTGCTCTTTCACCCTCACTAACATTAGGGATTTCTTTACAGTTATTTATTTTTATAGTTGACAGGTATATGCTAGCAAAGTTGTTTTGTTTTGATTGCTTTTGTATTTTAGCACCCCCTGATACAAATATATATTATATATATAGTTTTTCAACACATAAGACAAGTATTAACACAAAGGATAACACCTCAACTGAAAATACTAGAATTAGGACATCAGAGCTAGAAAAGACTATAGATGTTACCTCTTTTTACAGATAAGGAAAACTAAGACACAGAAAATACAAGTAACTTGCCAGAGTTCATTTAGCAATTTATAGCAAAAGGAAAATGCTATCATTTTTTAAAAAGTGTAAACAGTAGATTTAACTTCAAAACTAATTTCCCAATTGTCTTGATAACACATTTTCCTTGTTTATAGTGTTAAATACTCTTCCCTGGTGGCACTTGCCTTCATAATTCGTCCTACAGCTATCATTCCATGGATGCCTTTGCTCTTCAAACATTTCTGGCAAGAACAGAGAAAAACTGACCTTATTCTACATTACTTTTTACCTGTAGGGTAAGTCTATCTATGTCTAATAGATATAATCTGTCTATTAATTTTACTAACCTATAAATGATTATGAATAAGATTTTGTATCTTTCAGTTATTATTATAGTATAAAATCATTGAGAACTCTCAGTCCAAGGAAATAGAATATTAAGTTTTTGATATAAATAAATTTATGTGTGTGTGTGTATGCACGCATGCGCTTTCACACACACACACACACACACACACACCACACACACACCCCAGTGGTACTGGGTATTGAGTTCAGGAGCACTCTACCACTGAGCTACACCCTCAATCCTCTTTATTTTTTGAGACAGAGTCTCACTAAGTTGCTGAGACTGGCCTCAAACTTGTGATCCTCCTGCCTCAAATTCCTGAGTCACTAGGATTACAGGCATGTACCACTGAACCTGGCATGTTTTATATTCATATAAAATACATATATATTTTATGCATATATATATAAATAAAATGTTGTTTATATGTTCTTAATTTGCTTAAATGAGAGCCTCTCAATTATTTCTAACAGAATTTACCTTTGCTTTTTTCCCTATTTCTCAAATACATTTTAGAAATACTTGCTTTTTTTACATTTGTGTAGGTTTTATAACATATAATGGGTTTTCACATATGACCTCAAACCATCACAATTCTTGGATCTTGGCAATGCATGCATTTTTATTTTGTAGTAGAAGAAACAGAAGATATGAATAAATTAAAAATTATCCAAAAACTTTGGGCTTGTTGCTGTAAGGGAACTAGGATTGGAATCCAGGTCTTCTAACTTATTAAGAGCTCCCAGGATTAGCCTTATCCAAAATATCTAGTAGAATATCCAAAATAATTATAGAACAGATGAATACATTCAGACTCTGAGGACAGCAATATACTATATTCACTCCACACAAGTATTTTTTTATAAACAGTTTTTTCAAAGGACTAAATAATATTATTAAAGTTACTACTCTTTGTCATTTCTAGATATTTTATTATTGCACCCCTGCCTTTATGAGGTTCCCATTCTAGTGGGGAAAGACACAGCTAAAAAGATAAGATTTAGATATTTGTCCAAGTGATGATAAGTGCTATAGTGAAAAATAATGTGAGATTAAAAAGATAGAATGCTGGTGTGCATGTGGGTGTTATTTTTATATAATAATTGTGAAAGACCACCATAATAAGATTATATTGGAGCTAAAATCTAGAAGAATGAGAGAGTGAAACTTACAGACACCTAAAGAAAGAACATTCCAGGCAAAGGGACTAGCAAGTACAAGGTACATTTGGCTTTATTTAAGAAACATCAAATAAAAAAGCTAAAGGAGAGTGAGTCTGGGAGAATGTGATAATGTCAGAAGATAAGAGGGGCCCAGATCAAGTAGACTTTTACACTGAGGTATATGAAAAAAGTCTTTTTAGTCTCTCAGCAAAGTTGATATGGTTTATTCACTCAGAGCATTTAACCTATTTGTGTCAAGCATTTGTTAATTAAGAAATAACTAAGAGAACCCCCAAAGCTCAGGAAATAATACCAAGAATTAATAAATGGAATGATATCAAATTAAAAAGCAGCACAGGAAAGGAAACAATTAGAAATGTGAAGAGAGAACCTACAGAATGGGAGAAAATCTTTTCTAGCTACTCTTCTGGCAGAGAATCAAAATCTAGAATATATAAAGAATATATATTCTAGGGGCTGGGGCTGGGATGTGGCTCAAGTGGTAGTGTACTCACCTGGAATGTGTGAGGCACTGGGTTTGATCCTCAACACCACATAAAAATAAAATAAAGATATTGTGTCCACCTAAAACTAAAAAATAAAAAAATAAAAAAGAATTCAAAAAACTGAACACCAAAAAAATAAAATAACCCAATAAATGGGGTTAAACAGATGCTTCTCAAAAGAAATACAGATGGCCAACAAATATGTGAAAAAAATATTCAACAATATTAGCAATTAGGAAAATGCAAATCAAAACTTCACTGAGATTTCACTGCCCACCAGTCAGAATGGCAATCATCAAGAATACAAATAATAATAAATTCTAGAGAGTGTGGAGAAAAAGCGCTTTCACACTGTTGATTGTAAATTAATATGGAAATCAGTATGGAGGTTTTTCAAAAGACTAGATGTGGAACTACCATATGACCCACTTATACCACACCTCTTTTTCTTGAAGAATTAAAGTCATCATACAACAGTGATACATGTATACCCATGTTTATAGAAGGACAATTCACAATAATCAAATTATGGAACCAGCCCTAGGTTTCTATCAACAGATAAATAGATGAAGAAAATATGGTATATATACACAATAGAGTTTTATTGAGCCATGAATAAAAATGAAATTATGTCATTTGCAGGAAAACAGATGGAACTAGAGACCATTATGTTAATGAAATAAGCCAAACTCAGGAGGTCAAGGTTTATATATTTTCTCTCATTTGGAAGCTTGACAGGAAAAAGGAAAAGAAAGGATAAGGGCATGTCATGAAAATCAAAGGGAGATCAGAAGGTGGGAGAAGGGAAGGGAGGGAGACTGCTCTGAGCAACACTGGCCAGATTAAATTGTTATATTGTGTACATGTACAATATGTAACAACAATCTCACCATTATGTACAACTATAATGCACCAATTTTTAAAATGTCAAAATAGAAAGAAAAAAGAAGTGAAGAAGACAATGTCTTCTCCCAAAGTCAAATCTATGTAGAAACAAATAATAATAATAATTCCTACCCAACAATTTAAAGTGTTTCATTGCATATATATAAAGAAATGCTAGGCTGGGGTTGTGGTTCAGAGGTAGAGCACTTTCCTAGCTTGTGTGAGGCACTGGGTTTGATACTCAGCACCACATTAAAAAGAAATGCTGTATAGGAAAACAGAAAATAATTCTGCTTGAAAGGGAAATATCAGAAGCTTTATAAAGTAGGTGATGTTTCAGATATACAAGATAAATACAAGTTGGCAAGGCACAGAGAATTGGCATGTTTAAGGCTGAAAAGGCCTGAAGGAAGCTATTCATATAGATTAAATGCTGTCTTATTTTGAAGGAAAGTACAAAAAATAATAAGATAATGCATGTGAAAATTCTAATTATACAGTGTAGAACAAATGTCAACCACAGTACTTATCAGCCTATTCAAATGCTTGATACATAGAGTTGGCTCCAGACTTGAACTATGTAACAGCCTTTTATATATCAAGCACCATTTAAAAATAGCCAGTTATATATCCAAACAGTAATAGTGTCTCTCTAGAGGAAAATATTGAATTGCCCTTAGGGGAAAATTCTAATGTATATGGACCTATTTTTCTTACCTTCTTCATGATCTTGAGAATTTGGTGACATCATTTTTGTCATTATATAAAATCAAAAATAGTTTGGTTACCTGTCAGTGACCATTTTGTCCCCAGTTTTTGGCAAGATTGGAACGATGTATGGGACATCTTGTGGGTTTACAGGCATTAAAGAGATAAGCATACTATAAATAACTTTATTCTATTTAAAAAAAAAATTGTAGTCATAAACAGCATGCCTTTATTTTATTTATTTTATGCTAAGCACTGTACCACTGAGCTATTCTAATATATTTGACAACTTAGAGGAAATGGACAAATTTCTAGAAAAATGCAATTTATCAAAACTGACAAATAGAAAAATCTGAACAGTACTATAGAAATTTAATTTGCAATTAAGACCTTCAAACAAAGAATCATCAGGTTTTCAAATGACTACATAATCAGTTCTTCCATCCATTTAATAAAGAAGAAACAGCCTGTAATCTCAGCTACGCTGGAGGCTAAGGAAGAAGGATTGCAAATTGGAGGCCAGCTTGAGCAATTCAGCTAGACCCTGTCTCAAAAAAAAAAAAGGGCTGGGGATGTAGCTCAGTGGTAGAGTGATTACCTAGCATGTGTGAGGCTCTAGTTTCTATCCCCAGTACCAAGAAGGAAAAAGAAAAGAAAAGAAAGCAGAAACCTCAATCAATCTACACAAACTCTTCCACAGAATTTAAAAAAAAAAAAAAAAAAAAGAACACTTCCTAACTCCTGTAATAAAAAAAGCATGTCCTTTATACCACAGTATAACAAGGACATGACAAGAAAAGGCAGGTATAAACCAGTATTTCTCATAACTGTGAATGTAAAAATCCTAAACAAATTTTAGCAAATTGAATCCAATGACATAAAGGGGACTATATTATAACCAAAATTAGCTTTATTCTAGAAATATGAAGTTGATTCAATATTTAGAAATTAACAGAAAAAAAAAGAAAAATCACAGGATTTTCTCAGTAGACACAGAAAAGGAGATGATAAAATTCCCGTCATGATTTGGATAAAAATTAAAACACAACCCTTAGAGAACAAGCAATGAAAAAGGACTCATTAATATGATGATTTATATTAAAATGTTACAGCAGAATCATACTTAGTATTGAAATATTTTCCTCTGAGTGGGAGAAGATAATAAGAATGCCTATCTCCACTTCTGTTCAACAATATGCATCATAGCTAGGGCAGTAAGAAAAGCAACTAAATGGTTGGTAAGAAAGAAGTACAGCCATATGATATGATTCTATGTGTAGAAAATCTAAAAGAATATAAACTATTGTAACTAATTAGTTAAACATGTTCATTGAAAAAAGATCAATAAACAAATATTAATTGCTCTTGGACACTAAAGTTGGTTTGACATTTAAGAAAAACAATATTTACATAATTTCAAAGTATCTCTCCCCAGGATACTTACTAATTATGAAGAATAAAATGATAATTATACAACAGAGAAACTTGGCAGACACACCTTAACCAAGTAAGTAAACATTGCCAAGTAATCTAACAAATCAATATTATGGAACCCCTGATCTGAAGCACTGAAACACTTTTATCCCTTCTGTGGTGTCACTGACAAAATGCATAATCTGAATGTAATCATGAAAAAACATCAGACAATCCCAAATTGAGGTACATTCTCCAGAACAACTGACCTGATTCCTCAAAGATGCCATAGTTATTAAAGACAAAACTTAAGGAACCATCATGCTATATTAAAGTATTATAAAGAAACATAAAAACTGAATATAATAAAGGAAATTTTTTTCTTACTATAAATGACATTGTTAGGACAACTGGTAAAATTTGAGCAAGGTCTGAAAATTAGATAGTAAAGATGTAATTTTAATTTTATGAGTTTGATTTGTAGTTTATATAGGAAAACATTCTTTTTAGGAAATATCCACTGACATATTTTAAAAAAGGTAAATGATGTCCGCAACTTATTCCCCAACAATTCAGAAAAAAAAAAATATATCTATTTCAAGAGAGAAAGAAATATGGTAAAACATTACTACCATTTGAGGAATCTAGGTGAAGGATATATAGAAATAATGTTATTTACAATGAGAAGTTTATAGGAATAGGTGAAGGGTGTATGGGAAAACAAAGTATTATTCACAAAGACATCAGAAAACATCAGATCCTTACAAATATTGTAAAAGATATCTACACAGAAAACTGCAATACATTGTTGGGAAAAACTTATGAAGGCTTAAATAAATGGAGGGATATACCATGTTGGTGGATGATAGATTATTTTAAAGTATCAGTTCTCAAAGTGTTCTGTGTTAGTTGGCTTTTCATCACTATGATCAGAATACCTGTCAAGAACAACTTAGGGAAGTAGAAGTTTATTTTATGCTCACAGTTTGAGAGGTTCAGTCCATAGTCCGCTTACTCCATTGCTTTTGGCCTGAGGTAAGGCAGAATATCATGGCAGAAGGGCATGGTGGAGGAAAACTGGCTTATGGCAGACAGGAAGTGCAGAGAGAAGAAAGAGAGGGGAAGGGTCAGGGCACAACCTGGGTTGTGGGGTAATGCTCCACCTTCCTCCCGTTACTTCCTAGTAATCCATTCAGGTACAACTTTCATCATTGCCTAAAAGCCCCACCTCTGAAACTTTCTGCATTGGGGATCATGCTTTCAAAACAAGAGCTTTTCCAGGGACATTTCTAGATCCAAACCATAACAATCTGCATACTCATTGCAATTCCTATTAAATACCACTAGGCTCTGTGTGTGAGAGAGAAAGAGAGGGAGAAAGAATGAACTGTAAGGCTGATTCTAAACATTTTATTCTTTGGTATTGTGGGGGACTAAACCAAGGGGCACTTAATCACTAAGTTACATCCCCAGCCCTTTTTACTTTTTATTTTGAGACAGGGTCTCCCTAAGTTGCTTAGGGCCTTGCTAAATTGCCGAGGCTGGCTTTGAACTTGTGATTCTCCCCAGCCGCTGGGATTACAGATGGGTGCCACTGTGCCTAGCTGATTCTAAACTTTAAGTGGAATGCAATAGGCCAAGAATAATTGGAGGGGGAAAAAACGTTAGAGGATTTACACTGTTAAATATTAAGACTTATTACAAAGTTACAGTAATTAAGACTACTAAGAAATAGTGTAAGGAAACTTTGTACATCAGATTCACCATTAGGAGAGTTAAAAAAAAAAAAAAAGCAAGCTACCTATCTGAAGATATTAACATTATATATTATCAGCTAAAACCTCATATCTAGATTAAATTGAATAAATACTTAGTTTTCCAAACTAATGGCTTAGACTATGCAGTTCCAGTTCTAAGTATATACCCAAAGGAGATACAGATTAATGGACACAAAAGGATTTGTAAATGAATGTTCATAACAACACTATTTATAATGCTTGAAAATGGGAAGCACGGTGTCCATTAACAGAATAAATAAGGTAGTGTGGAATACACAGTTACATACACTATAACTGTAAATAAACAAACTATAGCATACAAAAACCACACAGTTCAGTCTCACAAGCATGATGATTAAGAGAGACTAGAAACAAAAGTACATATGGTATGATATCATTCTTATAAAATTCAAAAAAGGCAAAACTCACTTATGCTATCAGATAACCCCTTCTTCTTGTGTGTGGTCTAGATTTGTCAATTCTAATGAGTAGCATACAGCAGAAGGGATGGAATGTCACTTCAACAAATGACCGTAGCTTCCATCTTGGGATACATCTTTCTTGCCCGACACCCTGCTGGAAGCTAGTCATTATGTCATGAAATGGTCTTAAGATCCACATGTCAAGGGAATGAACCCTACCAGTAACCCTGTGAGTTCAGAAACTCTTGTCTCTTCCATCCCCATTAAGCTTTCATATGAAACTGCACTCTCAGCTAAAGAGCTCAACTGCAATTCATGAGAGCTCTTAAACCAGAGGAACTCGGCCAAATTACACTTGGATTTTTTACCCACATGAATTATGAAGTAATAAATATTCATATTTTTAAGTTACCAAGTTTTGGGGTAACTTGTTATGTAGTAACAGAAAACATAGTGTTTATTTTCAGAAGTTTACTTAGCTGGGGACATGGTGGTACAGGCCTGTAATCTCAGCTACTCAGGAGGCTAAGGCAGGAGGATACCAAGTTTCAGGTCAACCTGGGCAACTTTTCAAAATTTAAATTAAAAAAAATTAAGGGATGGGTACATAACTCAGAGGCAGAGCACTTGTTCAGCATACATAAAGCCCAGGAATTGATCCCTAACATTGAAAAGAAAAATCTGCTTAAATGCATGTTCTCATAGCAAAAGATCTTTCAAAATGTTTACATTCATATTTAGCTGGTGAAATTGTGAAACATTTTAAAAGTGGCTTTTAGTGCAAGATACTTGCAAAAACCGTACAGCAATATTGGATCTTCAGCAGGTTCAGAAATTGAATCACCATTCTCTTCTTGTTTTTCAGGTTTGTAACTTTGAGTTTGTCTCTAATAATTGATCGTATTTTTTTTGGTCAAGTAAGTAAAAATATATTAAGCTAACAGCTACTTTCTATTTTGACCATTTGTTGTGCTAAAACCTCAAGTTGGATTTTTTTAATCCATTAATATTTCAGAGGCAAATATTTTTTTAAAAAATGCTGTGTGATACATTTTATTAAAAAGACTTTTAGTGTATGCTTTTGGTGCAATTTGCTGTGCTGTTGTATTCCTAGCTGATGTTCAGAAGTCTTTTAAGGCAAAATTTTAAGTATTGAAGAGCCAGAGAAATACTATTCTAAAATATTATTCTAAAGTAATAAAAGTTAAGAATTTTAATGACTTTGACTCTTAATCATGCAGAAACCACACCAACCAAATATTCTATTCTTCAGTCATTTGGTTTGAGATTTTAATCTAATAACTGTACATAATGGCCTTTGGTTGTTTTTAAATTCCCTTTTTCCCACTTAGAAGTTGGTTATGGCTTTGGAATCCTGTCCATATTTTGAAGCCTAATATTCTTTATTAATAGCCAGGTGATCTTGGACAAATTTCCAACTCTTCTTTCTATGGTTCCTTTATCTGGGAATAATTGTGACATTTGTCACAATTGAGTAAGATTAAATGACATAACACATAAAATAATAACAGTTCCTGGCTCAAGTGAGCACTTAATTTTACTTGTTATTACTGTTGCTGTCATTATCTGCTTTGTGCTATGATTCAAATTGTCATGTTTGAAGAGTTTTACCTTAGTAGATAATATGTGACATTGTAAGGTACTAGAGTAAATATAGGTTAATATGGATACCACATATACCCTCTAAAGTTAGTTTTAGGATCCTCTCTATCTCTAATTGGATGTATAACATTACCAAACTGTGTGTGAACATTTATTCACAATCTTTCAGGTTCATCTTAAATCTCAAAAACCCTACTGTTTTTAAAAATAACAAAGACCACGTCAGTACATAGAGAAGAAAAAACTATAGTTGAGTGATTTCATATAGTCATTAATTAAAATTATTAATGTTAACTATTGCCTGGTTTTTAGACTTAAATTCTGATTGAATATCAAGGTTCTTTCAAATTCCCTCATGCCACAGTAATGCTTGACACTAACACATTTTTATTTCTTTTACCTTCAACTATTCCAGTGGACTCTGGTTCAGTTTAATTTTTTGAAATTTAACGTGCTGCAGAACTTGGGAACATTCTATGGTTCTCATCCATGGCATTGGTACTTCAGTCAAGGATTTCCAGTTGTCTTGGGTACTCACTTACCCTTCTTTATTCATGGCTGCTTTCTAGCCCCGAAGAAGTACCAGATACTTTTGGTGACTGTGCTATGGACACTGATAATATATAGGTAAGATTTTATTTGTTTAAGTAGTAAATGTTACCATGAAATTAGTTTCTTTGAAAAGTAAACTAATACATTAACTTTTATGATTTGTTAAGAGATTTTTTTTTGAGAGAAAGAGAGAGAGAATTTTTTTTAATATTTAGTTTTTAGTTTTCAGCGGACACAACATTTTTGTTTTTATGTGGTGCTGAGGATCCAACCCGGGCCGCACGCATGCCAGGCGAGCACGCTACCGCTTGAACCACATCCCCAGCCCAAGAGATTATTTTAAAAGTCAGAAGTAGTAGTAATTATGCTGGTGCACATATAAATACTTCAGATAACCAGGATTATACTCAGTTTTTAATTAGTTGAACAAATTTTATTTCCTTAAAAAATTTAAAGGGCCAGAGAAATATTAAAATGAAAATGTATGTATCTGTATTCCAAATTTGTGTACTACTACTTGACTGAATTGATAACAGAAATCTGTGTTAGAATATAATTGTACTTTATAATTTCACTTCGACATTAAATGTCATGATTAGTTTTGACACATCATAATTACCTTATAACTTCAAAATAACAAGACTAATTCCTGAAGATTCAATCTCCAATACTTAGAAAACATATAGATCATGTTAATTGTGTTTCATTTTAAATACATTAATTTTTCAAATAATCATGTATCATAATAAAATGGTACATAATATTTTTTTCTTAATATCTTTTATTATTATAGTATGTTGGGCCACAAAGAATTCAGGTTCATCTATCCAGTTTTACCATTTTGTATGGTGTTCTGTGGTGAGTGTTTTTATTAAAATAAAAAATTACATAGTAATAGTTAAAAGACAATAATGCTCATTAACTATTATTTATTTTCAACTAAGCTAAATGAGAATTGCTAATTACAAACTAATTGTAATTATTTTTTTTTCCTGTATCCTGTGAAGTCAGATAAAAACATAAGGATATATTTGTAACTGTTTAAACTAATTTTTGTTGCCTTTACACACAAACTATTTACCCCTTTAAGAGTGACTAATGCCTATGCTTTTTTTTTCCTCCCCTGATACTGAGGATTAACTCCAAGGGTACTTTACCACTGAGCTACATCCCCAGCCCTTTTTTTTTTTTTTAATATTTGTTATTTTGAGACAAGGTTTCACTGAGTTACTGAGGCTGGCCTCAAACTTGCGATCCTCCTGCCTCAATCTCCCAAATTGCTGGGATTACAAGCATGCATCATCACACCTAGCCGTGAATATAGTTTTAAAAGAATTCACTCCTGTGATTTTATTTTTGGCCCTTTCTCTATTTTTCCATGAGGTATACGCATTGTAGTTTTTACCTGTGACTTTAAAAATATCTTATTTGACTTAGCTCAAAAAAATCTGAATTTTTGCATTGATTGATTTGGGAAAATTAAGAATTAAAATTTTATTAACTTCAAATTTAATTCAAAGTAAATTTGAATTTACTTTAGCTTCCTTCAAATAGTACAACCTTAATAAAATAATAACTGAATTAGGAGGGAAAGAAATGAATTACCAACTTGGACTGGGACTGGAGACTGGAAAAAACTACGGAGTTACAAATCTAAGTCTTAATTTTACTTAACAAAAAAAGTCCAGATGACCCATTGAGTTAGGTGGCCTTCTTTGACCAAGTACACATCAGCTCCTACAGATTTCAGATGTATGTACTCTCTACTATTTAGATAAATATATACATCTATGTATGTGACTTATATGAAGTACTGAAACCAAACCCTCAAATTTTGTTATTGTAGTCTTACTTCATATACAAATACACATTTGACAAATTTTTTTAAAATATATATATCTTTATTTTATTTATTTATTTTTATGTGGTGCTGAGGATCGAACCCAGTGCCTCACGTGTGTGAGGCAAGCGCTCTATCACTGAGCCACAACCCCAGCCCAGCATTTGGCAAATTTTAATAATAGTGGGTCCATTTACCAGAGGAAGTCTTTTAACAAATCACTTTAGATTTTAAAGTTTTTATTTTTACAGTGACTTGAGCATTAGTTATAATTAAGCATTGTTAGAGTACTGGAAGACAAATGTGTGTGTGTCCCCATCTGTCAATCTGTTTATGGTTTGGTTTGGTTTATTTAGGAATCTGGGTGTTTCTGTGTCCTCTTCTGTGCCCTGTTTCTTATAAAGCATTTACAGAAATGTCAAAGTGTCTGAATCCTCATTCCCAGTCCATAAGTTTGAGTCTTTTAAGTGGGGGGATGCCTGTAATTAGGCCCTATTCTGAGTCTCAAAATTTGAGATAAAATTTGATGAAGGCATGAAAAGACCCCATTTTAATGGATTTTTATCCATTTCTTGGTCTGGGAGTATAGTTCAATTGTAAAGCACTTGCCCAGAAAGCGTGAGGCCCTGGGTTCAATCCCAAGCCCCACAATCACCCTTTCATTAAGTATCTATTCAGGATGGAGACTTAGAAAAACACCTCATCTCCTCACAAGGTGTTCTCTTTTCTCCAGACACATAGAACTAACATTCTAGGATGGGCCCAAAGAATCTCTGATTCCTAGATAATTTGTACTTCCACTAAGAGTCAACAAACCTTTACTGCCAGGAGGTTCCAGCAGGAGCTCACCTAGACAGAAATCTGGACATTCAGGAAACACTGTCAGAAAAATGGCTCTTTGCAGTTCTTGGTGTTTTAAATGATGAAACTTGAAACTTTCCTGACACCTGGAATTGTTATATCACAAATCTGAGCCTTATTCTGTTTGTATGACCTATTTTAACCTTATTTTATATAAAAAAAAGACAACTTTGTCAGCCACTGATGTCTAATAAGCCACTTCAAAACTTAGTGGCTGGACCAGGCATGTTGGCTTGTGCCTGTAATCCCAGCTAATTGGGAGGCTGAGGCAAGTGGATTGCAAGTTCTAGTCCAGCTTGGACAAGGTAGTGAGACATCATTTCCAAAAGAAAAACACTTAGTGGCCTAAAATTCCATATAGTATTATTTACAAGTCTACATTTCATTTGTGCAGTTGTTCTCATCTCTGCTGTGCTCACTTATGCAGATGTGACCAGTTATAGATTGACTAGACAGCTCTGTTGACCTAGGCAGGGCTCTCATATGTCTGGGATCCAGTTGTTGGCTAAGGCTGACAGCTCTTCTGTTCTTTCATCCTCCCATTGGCTAGCTGAGGTCTATGCACTTGGTATATCCAGGATCACTAGAGAGGGATCCCTGGCTCTGAATTTCCATCACATTTTCTTTGCTCAAAGCAATTCAAATGGCCAGGCCAAACCATTTGATAGGGAAATAATGGAACTGAACATAGGAAGAATAATAAATTATAGCAGGTTTTTTTTTTTTTCAGTCTGCAGTAACTTATGTTGCTTAGTCTGAATTTTCCTCAGTCCTCTAGGATTCTATAAACATACCTTCTATGATTGGTTGTGATCTGTAGTGACATGTATAAAATTGTATCTCAAGTTTACCTGTAAAAGGAAAACTCTGGCTTAAAATTGCTGAAATTCTTAGCTTATGCCTCTCCTCTCAAACTAGATACTGATGTTTCTAGTACGTGCTGCCAATTCTGAGTTGGGTATCAATTAGTTTTTAACACAGTGGCCAAGGTAGACTTGCTTCTCTTGGATTAGGCCACTTTGTTTTCTATATTCTGATCTTGTAATTGAAATTGCACATGCACACTGTTTGAATTGTCATTCCTAAGTAGTTTGTTTAAAAAAAAAAAAAATGATCTTCCTCTGCACTCCCTCCTAAAACTCCCCACAAGCAATCACTTAAACATTCTTTTAACAGGTTATTTTGGTATTTACCTCCTTATTTCTAAATAAAATGCTTACAATGCTACCTAATGATCTTTGTTTTGGACATCATCTATTTACTTCTCATTATACAACATGAAAATACAACTTGTTTCCTTAAGAAAGTAGCAACCAAAATTCATCCTAATACCACTGTCCTTACCCAGTACTCTCGTTGTGGTTAAAAGTTCAAAGTCTCACCATTTACCCATACCTGTCCTCTTAAATCCCACTCCAAAATTAAACTACTCTTTCTCTCATGTAATCACTGAAACTAAACTGACCTAACAGCTTTCTCAGGGTATTTGAAAGTAGAAAGATTAACGCATATATTTTCTAATTGGTAGAAAGTAGTAGAGAACATAGTAGAGATTTTTTTCTTAACATTAGGTTTTCTGATAATTCTTGCCCAAACCAGGATGCATCCTTGCCACTCCTCAGTAAATGTGATGGTAATTAGTAATGTACTGGCTTTCCCATCGTTGTCCACTGCCATGAACCATAACTTGGTGAGAAGAAATTCATTAATCCTTGCTGGAGAATAATTGCCATGCTAAATATCCGAAACTAAAGTATGTATGTCAAGCTAAATAATATCTGATTTGGAGGCATGGCTGAATAAAAGGGCCAACTTACACAGGGCCTTCTTATATACTCTTTATTTCTGCATGTTCTACATCCATGGATTCAAACTAGCCAAGGATTAAAAATATTCAGGAAAATGTACTGGCAGACTTTTCATTCTTATTATTCTATAAATCACCATCATCACTATTTCCATAAATAATATGTCACTATTTACACAGTATTAGATATTTTAAGTCATCTAAAGATGATTTAAAATAATCAGGGGAATGTGCATAGGTAATATGCATATCATTTTATATAAGGGACTTCAGCATTTGAGGATTTTTGTTCTTTGGGGAGTGGTATATTCTAACCAGACCCCTGTGGATACTGAAAGAATGTATACTCAAGTTTTTAGATTTGTCCTTGAAAGTAATCAACTGGGATTTAATGGATTTACAGCACTTTTTTTTAACAGAAGTCTGATGAGAATTTGATAAAAACTATGTTACTGTAAAATAAAATGCTCATGGTACAAATATAAATATACTAGTGGTTGGTCCGTAATCACCTAGCCTGTTCTCCAATGGTAAACTATTATCACTTACGCAATTCACCCAGAGATATTCTACATACCTACTTTAAATTAAGAATTTGAAAGCGATGTTTGGCATCTAGTTAGCCAATGTGTGAAGTGAAAGGCTCCATATTTTGAGAGCTAATCACCAGAGTTCATATAAAGTCCCACATCTTCAGTGACTGGCAAAATCTCCAATTTTAAGTCAGGTAAAGCATCATTGATGTGGTGGTGATTACTACTTTCTGAAGCTAGGTCATTTGAAAGTGGATCATTTCAGTGAAAACTATTTTGCTGTATTATTTCAATTTCAGTTAAAAATGCCTACTGAGTGACAAAATCTAGTATCTTATAATATGTATTGAAGAAACTGTTACTTCCCTGTAAAAAACAAACGTGCATCTTAGCGTTTTCATGGCTCACTCATTAATATAATTGTAATGTGTCTAACTCTCCCTTTAATAACTTCAAATTCTGAAGTTCCCTTGGTAAACTTTGATTGTCAGATGATTTGAAAACCCTTAGACTTAAAATCTGCATGTTAGACTCAATAGCCATAAGCTAATATACCACACCACAGTATCTTTTACTAGAAAGATTCAGACCTAGATGACAATACAATGATAGTGAATGGTCACAAAAATTATGACTTACTGCTTATTTTTTGTGTCTACAACAGCATTGCAGTTTATGCCGTTTCCATGAAATTACAAATGTATCTGCAGTTAACATAAGAAACCAAAAGATTGCCAGTTTTACAATTCAATGTACCTATCTTCATATAGGATACTCACTAGCCCACCTGAAAGCATGGAAAAAACCAGCTCTAAGTTTCCTGTTTTTATCAAATATGTTCCTCGCACTCTATACTGGTTTAGTTCATCAACGAGGTACTCTTGATGTCATGAGTCATATTCAAAAAGTCTGTCACAACAGTCCCAATAAATCTTCAGCCTCAGTATTTATAATGATGCCTTGCCACTCTACTCCTTATTACAGGTAATAAAAGTTGTTATATATGTTATTATTGAGAAAATAAAACTACTTTAAAATTCTGATTTCAATTGATCATTGATCAAATGATAAGAAAATTTAAACTTCCACTCATTTATTTACTGTACTTTAAAAATCATTTATTCTATCAATGAAAATCATATTTTTAAATACTTTTTAAAAAGTTTATACTTAAATTTTATTTACACAACGTTGAATTAATCTCAGAACACTAAATTCTAGTTCAGATTTGCATTTGTACTTTTGTCTCAGTCTTAATCCAGTCTTTTAATTTTCTGGAGCATCAGTTGTCTCATCCATAAAAATCAGGGAGTACAATTAAGTGATAGTCTAATGCTTGAATTAAGTATTCCTAGGAAATATAAAATACTAATGTTGCCTTACCGTACAAGGCATTCAAAAAGATATCCATTTGGTCCTATGATTGTATTCCAAGAAGCTATCCTAGTTACCAACAGTCAATAATGGTACAGGAGCAAAGCAACTAGCTTCCCCAAATAAAATTCTACAACTGTTTAACTTAACCGGGCTTCAAACAATCTGGAGTTGATAGTCAATGTGCACATTAAATTAATATCACCATGGATATAATTTTAAGAGAATTTAACATTTTGGAATACTCAAGTGCCAATCATAAACACATAATTTACTAAGTTGGAATTGCCTTGCAAAACCACAGGCTAGATGGAAGCCTCAAGTATTCCTTCAACTTGAGGATTCTTTTCTATACAGTCCTCTCAAAATAAATTTTATATTATATACATTATACATATGCTTATCTACTTACTTACCTATCTATGTACCTATATAGAGATATATAGATATATGCATGCTTAGTGGGGAACATTTGCTGTCCTTCCATGTTCATGTTGGTGGTACAGGAATTCTAGTGGTAACAAGATATTCTCCATATATAATAGGGGTTGAGTCTTTCACTTTTGTATAGTTAATATTATACTTTTCTGTGTGTGGTACTGGGATTGAACCTGGGGTATTTTGCCACTGAGCCACGTCCCTAGCTGTTTGAGATAGGGTCTCACTAAGTTGCCCAGGCTGGCCTGGAATTGTAATCCTACTGCCTCAGCTTTCCTGAGCTGCTGGGATTACAGGTGTAAGCCACCACACCCAGTTTCTCATCTTGTACTTTTTCAAAGCACATCTGAAAAAAAACTAAAAACAGAAGGCCCAGTGCCCATTCCAGATTAAAATTCTCAGGAATTTCTGCTTTTCATCTCCAAAACCATGAGTTATGAAGTAGCAAGTCTTTAATTCAGTTGATATGCATCTCACAGATAAATCTCCATAATTTTACTTCATTTCTAACTGGGTCTTTTTCTTTTTTCCCCCGTTGCCTGCGATTGAACTCAGGACTTGCACCTGCTAGGCAAGCACTCTATCAGAGCTACATCCTAGCCCTCTAATTGAACATTTTAAATCTTTTTATCAAGTTCGGTTTTTTCCTCAGACAATTAAAAACATGGAATTTTGCATGGCCTTAAAGACAAATCCATCTTTTTATACTCTATACCACAATAAAACCATTACTTAGATTGTTAATCAGTGAACATTTGTTGCTCCCTATTAGTAATCTTACATAAGTATGTAAAACTTGTCATTTAAAGATGTAATCCATCCTCTTTCAGACCAGAAAGGCAAGAAAGCAAAAATTCCTTTTCATTATTAACTACTTTCCTACCTTGCCCAATAAGCCTAGAGAATTACTGTATAATGAGGTAACTCACCTGATCCCAAAGAATATTTGGATTTTTGGAACAGTACTCTGCTGCTAAATTATTTACTTTGTTCCTTGAAATGGGAGTTTCATGTTTAAGTTTGGACTTGTTGTTTATGCCGTGGAGAATCATGTTCTCCATGTTTGGTAATATGTATTAAGGACTTCCTTCTTCACATTAATTGGAATTGCTGACTGTTACATGCTATATCTTAAGAGTAACAGAAAACATTCACCATGTCTTTTAACCTCTTGTAAATATTATGATAACATTTTTCTCATAGCCATGTGCACTGTCCACTTCCAATGAGATTTCTCCAGTGTCCCCCAGACTTGACTGGGAAAAGTCAGTATCTTGATGAAGCAGATACATTCTACCTAAATCCCTTAATCTGGTTACATAAAGAGCTTCCTGATGATGCATCACTGCCTACTTACTTGATCATCTTCAATGTTTTGGAGGAGGTAAGTAAACATGAAAAAGAAAAAAAACTCAGTGTTTTTATTCAACCCCAGGTTTAGCAAACACACAGGTAAAAAAATAACATAAGCTATTTTATAGTCTTTTTCAACCCCCATATTCCATAATTTGTCTTTTTCCCAGTCAAAATCAGCCCCAGTTCTAAAACTGTCGAGGTATGTTTGTTATTATAAGTTAATTCTTTTATTAAAGGAATCTTGTTTTATTCTGAGTGAATAAAGGAAATGTGTTGTTATATATACACAATTTTGTTCTTGATGGCTGAGTAAAAACTCTTGTGTCCTTTTCAGGAAAGTAGATGGAACTGGAGATAATCATACTAAGTGAAATAAGCCAGACTCAGAAAGTCAAGGGCTATTATGTTTGCTTTCCTTTATGTGGCTGCTAGAGAGAAAATGGAAAAAACACAAGGGTAGGGGAATCTCATGAAAATATAAGGGAGATCAGTAGAGGATGCGGGCCAGGGAAAGGGAGAAGAAGAGGGAAAGGAGAGGTACTGGGGAATGAAATAGACCAAATTGTGCTGTGTGCATCCATGAATACAACACAATGCATCCCACTACTTTATATAATTATAATGCACCAGTAAAAAAAATTTTAAAAAAGAAATATTGTTTTATGAAGCAAAATGTTGCAGAGGAGCGATTAGAATGGACAGTTCTAAAATTCTTTGAAACAGTACAACAAAATGTAGCCTTTATTTACTTAAACATTTATTTACTTCTAGGAAATAAGTACTTTCCTAATTTCAAGAAATTATGAGAGAACTGCTGTTTTCTTCCACACTCACTTGCCGGAGGGTCGAACTGGAAGTCACATATATGTCTATGAAAGAAAACTTAAATGGGGAAATCAACAGAAGATGAAATTCTAAATTGTGTTTACAGCTTCTCCAGAGAAACTGACATTTCTGGGTAGAAATATTCAGGTGCTCCTAGACACTTTAGTCAACACCAAGTTTAACTCCTGGAATTTGCAAAAAGCCACTGTGGATTGCTTTACCAAATATCACTACTGAGAAATTGTATAAAATATCACAGAATAAGAAATCACATATTAATGCAATGCCAGATTTTAAATAAAGACCTTTAGTTTTCCTCATGGTGTAGTTTTATTATTTCTTCCATAATATTCAGATGTGCACAAAATTTCACAAGAGAACAAGTCAGCAAGCTCTTAAGAGGGCAGCAAATTCTTCACAAGTGAACAGGCTCTTGAACCCACAAAAAGACAAGAAGTGTAAGATTATAAAATGTTAAGAGATGAAATCCCATCACAATGTACTTTCTATTACTGCAAAACTCTAACACAATCAGTGTTAATTACACTTTGTCACATATGAGACGAGCTTGCTTTAAGCTCATACACTGCTAGGAAGTCTCATTTTATGCACAAAATCTGTTGCGTGCCTGGTTTCTTTAATGAAACTTTTTTCCAGTGCAAAAAAAAAAAAAGAGGAAAAAACGTTCAACAAAGCTAAACTACTGGAATATGCAGGTTAGTAAGCTGTTGATTGATGCTTCTGTGTAATAATATAAATACAAAGCGACCAAAATGAACTTTTAAAAATGAAAGACACTGTCATCTTGATAATTTGATCTTAGTTTAAACACCAGATATTGTAGAAAGCATCCATGTCTCTCTGAATTTTCTAATTTAACTTAATCATGAATCAGTATTTAGGATCAAAAGGTAATTGCCCCAATTCTATTTCAAGATTTGCCATGTGTCTTCCATTAGTGCGACCATATTTATGCCATTTACCTTCCCTTTTATAAGGCTGTGGTTGAAGGTGCTTCTGCTCTTGTTTTCGATGCCTGGAGTTTTCAATATTTACCATACGTTGCTTTCTATCAGGTCGACTGAAAGTAGTAAACACATTTTTCATCTATGTTAGAGTTCAATTTATTTAAATAAAAACCAATTTTAATGTTTTTCTCCATTAATCTATCTGAACATTCTGCAAAAAGATGTTAATACAGTATAATCCTATTATGTCCATACTATAAAGCAGGGGAGAGGGAGTTCAGTGAGTATTATACATTTTTTTACCCTTTAGAAAGCAAAAACAGACAAATGTAACTGTACTGACAAAAGGGAAAATACTGAGGAGATAATAAGAATAGAATGTGACAATAAAATAATGAGATGTGTTTCCATTATTTTCCTCCTCTCCAAAAAAAAAAAAAAAAAAATCAATCCTCCCCCATTGGCTTCATCCCTCACAGAAATATACACACATCTCTTACCAAAAGAGGCTCTTAACTTTTTCTTTTATAGCAAAAATTCACAACATCTGCATTTCTTCCCTCAGTTTCCATGAGCAGGTTTCTGTCACTACATTATGGCAAGTCCATAATGCTATCCTGGGCACTCAATTCCCAAACCAAGAAATATTTTCAGTCCTCAACTTTTAAAGCATTTGACGCAATTTAAATATTACTTTTACTTGGGTTTTCATGATTCTATTCTGTAGTCTCGCCCTTCTCATACTTCTCTACAACCGCACCGATGTTGGTGTTCCCCAAGGGTCTGATAAATACCTCCAGTGGAGACTGTCTTCACACACACACACAGACACACAGAGAGTTTGGGCCAGAAAGGCAGAAACATTAATTGACTGCCAACTAATCCTCTCTAATTGATGTCAATAGATACCTTCACAACTTTTACAATGTGCCCAAAAGCACATTCCTGCATTCCATATCTGAGTGATATCACTATCCACAAGGTAGCCCATCCCAGAAATCTAGAAGTCATTGTTACTTTCTACTTATCTTGCACAAGAAATAACTATTTAACTATTTACCTACTGTGTAACTGTCTTTACTCTTTATATCTTAGTTCTAATACTCATCAGCTCCCAACTATTATACTGCATTCTAGCTTCACACCTTTCCAATGAATCCTCCAGGCTGCTGCCAGTAATCTAGAAGGTCATCTAATTAATCTATAATTCCACTCTACTTCAAAATTCTTCAGAAATTCTGCATATCCTGCAAGACAAATCCTTTAGCATAAAACAAGGCCATCATGATCTTTTTTTCATCCCCCCTGCACTACCTTGCTTCACATTTCCAAGGCTTTTCAAGTGAAAACTCAACAAGTTTATTTCCAAGGCCACCTCATCATGAAGCTTTTCCAGACATCTCCAGACACCTGAGGCCACCATATACGTGCCTCCATATCTTCATTTAATTTTCTGTATCTGCCTAGCTTGTGAGCTTGTTTACATTAAGAAATTTTCAATTTGTTTCCTCAAGACAGCATCCCAACACTTTGCTCATTACAACACTAGATACTGAATAACTAAAGACAACATCAGTCTCATTATTTTATAGACACATTACATTTATTCATAAAAACATATAGATATATGTATCTCAAAGGTAAAAAGTGAAGCTAACATTTCAGTATTAGAGTTTCATGTTACAGAATAAAAAGCAGATAAACAATGGATTTAAAAGTTATTATGAAGTATACACATTAGAATTTCTGGCTTGCTGAGTTTGCCTCTTTGATCATGCCACTACCCTTATAAATAATTCTGTAGTAAGTATTACATATAATAATTAAGTTGGAATATGAAATGGACAAATGACAACAGGTGGGGCACTATAATTGTTACATATGTGAGCTCTTCTGATTTCAGAGTAAAATTTGTGTTGTTCGCTCCTAGCTTCCTAAGGTGAATAAAGAAATTAAAGGAAAATAATTCCACTTAAGGTAATTATCTTTTCATATCAACTATACTAAAAAGAAACATAATTAGCCAAAATAGGATTTCTATATCCATAACTAATTTTTAAGATATAAATCAAACCATCTTTTTAAATCAGTGATTGTTATATTAAATTTTCAGTTTTTAATACTTATAAATTTAAAACTATATCTTTCAATTTATTCTAAATTTTCAGGAATAATAAAGCATGTCTTTTAGAAATAGTAACCTAAGAAACTCATCAAATGATAAAAATGCTACCACAATATAAAATTATTAGAAACTATTATAATAACATGGTTTTATGTAAACCGACCTGGGTCCATATGGAGGGGGAAAAGTATGACCAAAGAAGTGTCTATATATATATCCATCCAGCTTCTCAAACACTCCTTCATTATCTACTTGATATTCCTTCATGTCTTTAAGATAATCCTTAACATCATTAACAAAGTCCGTGAAAAGCTTCTGATCATGGATAAAGACACCATTTAGGAAAAACTTGTTGATGAATTGATCTAGTTCTTTCCAATGATGAAAAGCATCCAATTCTTTTAATAAGTATCTTTCAATTAACTGTCTAAATTCATCAATCCTTACAGGATTCATCATTACCTTAAAAGGATTAAGGGATTCTTGTTGAGCATATTCAAATATACCAGAACAAGCCTTTCTGAGATAACTTCCCCTACAGTCATCATGCTCAGCACTGCACTTCTGTAAATTTGTATTTTTTCTAAATTCTTCAAAGTGAGTTGGCTTCTCTTTCCTTCCTTCCCTTTGCAGAGTAGGGCCTCCACGATTCTGGTCTTGCATAGGTGCCTTATTCTGTGGATGTAAACAGTCACGAAAAACTGTTCTTGGTTTTTCCGCTGTTTCTTCTCTTGGAGCACTAAATCTTTTGTTGCCCTTTTCATCAAAGATATTCTTGGTGGTATCTTTGAAATGTCGGAAAGTGGATTTAACTGAATCTGAAAACTTTTTCAGATTTTCCTTCACAGCTTCTTTAGCCTGCTTAATTTTTTCTTTATGATGCCTCACAAACTCCTTGGTAGAATTCTTCATGGCATCGAATGTTTCCTTAACCGTTCCCAAAAATGTTTCTTTTGACTTATTCTTAGCCCTGTGGTTTCCTCTGCTACCTTTCTTTTTTCCATCAGTTTCTTGTTTTCCATTCTGATCTTTTGCCTCAACATACAGTCTTTCCCACAAATCAGAACGCTGCTGTTCAAAGTTTAGTTTCTGCTCCAGCTCAGTGAGTCTTTCCTGTAAGACTGCTATTTCCTTTTTTTCAGTCAATATATTGGGAGAATCTAAGTTGTCTTGTGACTGACTCGTGCTTAACTGCTGAAGTTCCACCCTTAAAGTCATTGCTATCAGTCGTTCTCTCTCCAGTTCTCTCTTTAGCATCTTAGTTTCTGCCAACAGAGTCTCCCTTTGACTAAGGAAGCTGTGCACTTTCTGTTTTTCCTCTTCTAAATGCTGCTTAAGTTTCTGATTTTCTGTAACTAATTCAGTATTTCTTCCTTTGTCTTCCAATATTCTAATCTGTTCTCTTAACTTCATTAACTCTTCCTGTAATGCAGATATGGCTTTCTCTTCCTTCTCCAGAGATATTCTTAAATACTGATTTTCTGTAGCAAGACTCTTTTTCTGAGTATCAAAGGATATCTTCTCTGATTCAGTAAGAGTCCAACACCTTGCAAGGTTTTCTTTCAATGACTAAATTTTTTTGAAAGAGAACAAAAATGTCAAGTGTTTTAAAAGCTGCAATTAAATCTTTAAATACATCCTATTAACTTTAGTGTCTTTATTTCTACAAGTCCTGTGTCCTGTGTACTATTTCAACAGTATAAAACTAGAAATCACTAAATTTCATATAAAAGAAAATGCAGTGCAGAGAATTATATCAAATTAAGAAAAATAGTATGGTGGAAGAATTTATAAAGACAAGGAAAAGTTATCTAGAGCTCAGTTAATCCCTAAATATAAGACCAGCAGAGTAGAATAAAGGAATAAGGACATACGGGGGACTGAACTGGAGCAAATTATAGTTCATGCTTATATAATTATGTGAAAATGAACCCTGATTTTATATATAACTATAATGCACTAATAAAACAAATAATAAATGGCTATCCTTTCCTGTATGGGGAAAAATATATATAAGCAGCCCGAGATATAGCTCAGTGGTAAGAGTGCTTTCCCAACATGTCTGAGGCCTTGTGTTTAATCCCCAGCACTGCAAAAGAAAGAAAAAATGAGGAGTGCCTCTGATTGAGGCTTCTCATAATAATATGAAGTTCTTACTGGCTTCAAGCAGCATTTATATGTTAGAAGAAACAGAGTAGTCTATTTTTTGAATACAGGATGCTCTCCAAAAAAAAAAAAAATCCTAAAGAATATAGATAAGACTAAGGGTTTTTCCATTTCTTAAATTAAGAAAGTTATCTTTATAAAAAGTAACATGTCATCTAGAGCTGACTTAAGGCTTCCAAAAATTGAGTTTGTAATATATGATGGCACACTCCTACTCAGAAGGCTGAAGTAGGAATATCATAAATTGGAGGCCAGTGTCAGCAATTTAGTGAAACACTGTCTCAAAATTTTGAAAAAAAAAAATTTAAAAGCTGGGTATGTTGCTCAGTGGTACAGTGTTTGTCTGGCATTCACAAGGTTCTTGGTTTAGAAACACTTCAGATATTCTTAGTCCTAGTTGAAACATTTTAATCCTATAAAAACATTTCTAGATAAGGGCAGAATTCTACAAGCACTGAAGGACAGACTAAATCTCTGAAATATAAGTCATTTCCCGAATTTCAAGTCACTAAAAACCAGATTACAGTTAACTCTATAATCTGTACAAATTAACTCTGAAGATTAATATATAGATTAATGTAACTCTGAAATCAGCACCCTTTGACAGGTCAATCAGGTTTATAGAATTCTACTGTAGCTAAGCCTGGTGGCACACACCTGTAATCTCCAGCTACTCTGGAGACTGAGGCCGGAGGATAACCAGTTCAATGACAGCCTGGGAAATATAACAAGACCCTGGCTCAAGATAAAAAAAAAGTGGGGAAGGGTAGGAAGGTAGCTCAATGATAAAGTACCCCTGGATTCAATCCCAAGCACTAAAAAAAAAAAATCTATGTGTAAATCTACAAAGTGATATCTAACTTTGGCTTAATTTACTATAGACATTATGGCTAATCCTATTTGAATCAGACAATAATCATAATCTAATTTAACAAGAAAAAGGATGGAAAAAAGCTCAATAGAATAATAGCATTTTACATTTGAAAAATAATTGAAATGGTTGCTTCACTGTTTAACTCAATCTTCAAATGACAAATTAAGATTTTAAATTCAATCATAATTATTTCATCTGCTCTACCTGTCTGAGACAACAAATTTCATCTACCCAATAGCACTAGACTATGGAGTAGAAGAGCCCTATGTAATGTAATCTTTTATTGCACAAACACAGGAAGCCACAGGGGAACTGAAGAATTCAGCATTCCTCATATATAAACTTGATCTTGAAATTAAGTGATTGACAAGTAGAGATTCGGGGCAGGTCTTCCAAACAGCTTCAACACTGGAACCACACTTAATAGGAAACGAGATCTGAAAAAATTCTCTAAAGACATATGTCCTGTAAAAGCCAATGCCATCCTCCAGAACCAGAAACTAAAAAAATGGCACCTTGTTAAATACTTGGAAAAACTGCACCACTGAAAATTCACTTTAGCAGTACTCCCTGAAAGATACAATTTGAACATAAACCAGGATTCTGTCTTTCCAAGAAATGTAATCATAAACCTATAAAGTACACGTACATAAACTATAAGGGAGATATGGTGGAATGGATGGAAAAATCAACAGCTTAAATTTTCTATCCTGAGTTTACTATCATTCCTTTACCACCCTTCCTAGGGAAGAACAAAATATGAAACCAACTATTTTTCTTAACCTCAAAAACCACCTAAGGTGTCAGGTAAGGAGACAGAATTGACTGTATAGTCCTGTTGAAGTTAGGTGAATTTTAGGTAGGAAAATACACATGCCCTCCATTCTGTCAGATCTAACAACAAAAACAGTTAAAAATACTGGCCATTTCACCCAACAAAGAAGATCCTGGAGCAGCTATAAAGCCCCAGCTCTTGAGAATATTTTACTGAGCTCTGTGAGAACAATGTTAATAAAGTTGTGTGTACGCAAAATGTGTGCGTGAAAAAAACATATATCTCGAATGTCAATTTTAAATGATGCTATTTTAATACAACAGTTATGAAGAAAGGCCTCTGAAATTAGAGACTTGGAAACAAATAGCTCTCCTTACCATCTATAAAATGAACTTAACGCTTGCTTAAATCACAATATTGTTATAAAAAATAAGAGATACACAGTGCTTTCCTGATAATGACTAAGATATAGTAAGTACTTAATAAACAATTACCAATATTACTAATTTTCACTGTACTTTTTATTTAAATAGTACAAATACTAACAATTATTTTTAATATTTTTTAGTGGTACACACCTTAGAATCTATAAAAGGTCCTTGTTTCTTTTGGCATTGAGAAAGATAATCCTTCATATCATTCAGTTCATCTTCGTGTATCTTTCTGACTAATTCTTGGTGTTTCTGAATCTGAATTGTGCCTAAAATGAAAAATTTTTATTAGAAGCATGAAACATTATGATCACCAGTATTTTAAAATATAGAAAACATTTCATCTAAATATAATCTGTCTCTAAATCTAGATAAAATCATTTTTCAAAGTGTTAGCATTTTGTTTCTTTAAAAATCCAGATTTTTTATAAACATGGAATAAATATGATATCATTCATCAAATGATGATGGAGGTTAGTTATAATACAAACCAGTCGAAATAGTCAATGTATTTAGTATAGATCCAGGAACATTTAAGCAGTTCACTAGCCTTTTGATTAAAATGAACACACCAGCCTACATTTACTCTAACAAGCAATAATTTATTAAACATTCTTACTATATTGAAGACATTCAGATTTATCGTTTTGTGGGTATCTTTAAGTATGTAAATTATTCAAAATCCCTTTACACAGAGAAATAAACAATTGGTAGTGTTTTTTCCACAGGTTAAAAGTAAACATGAAAACATAAAATTTCTATGTGTGTCTCTCTAATATGCTGCCTAAACGATACAACAAGCCCAAAAAGTACATCATAGAAAACAACTGTCTGGTACCTACCATTCTCAAAGCCAAATCTTTTAAGAACTCTGCAATGGTTAAATCTGTAGTGGAGTACCACTGTCCCTATCCCAGCAATGATAAAGGAAGACTCCTTTATTTTCACCCTAAAATCAAAATGTTATTTTGCCAAGACATGCTGTTCACATGCTCCTACAAACTTCATGCATGGACAAAACAAAACAAAACACTAAATCAAAAATAGGGCAAAATGCATCCAGCAGCATTAATATTACTGAGTGGACATACCATTATGAAGAGACGTCATACAATTTAAAAATAAAAGGATATAATGGTAGTTTACCGTGTTTTCCCCTCTTTACTGCTACAAAAATTATTTTAAAATGTCTTCATCTTGAAAAATATCAAAAACTTTTAACAACTTACAGATAACTGTTGGATAGTATAAACACTATATGAAATATGAATATGAAATTCTGCACTGATTCATTTATTTTTAAGTTTTGTTTATAGAATTCATTGTTTCAAAATGACTCAAAAGAAATTCAGGGTTTTTTAAATGTTGAAATACTCTTATTTATAATACCCAGAATAACCAGAAAACTTCTATTTTAAAGAGCTAACCAGACGAATTCCTTTGTCCACTGGAAAATAACCAAAAACCATAGTGAGAGTTGAATGTGAGATATTATTAACATAGAATATGCTTAATGACTGTCTTAATGTGGTCCTTTAATCTCACTAATCACTGGGGCTTTTCTCCTTGCATTTTCAGCTGCCTACCCATAAAGTATTCCCTCTTCAAGATACTATCTTTGGCATAGTCATGTCTACAAACACTACTTTTCTCAACACATTAACCCACTGTCAGTTTTTCTGTCATTCATGTTAAGACAGCTCAGATACAGATACAGTTGCAATCTCTGACCTGAGCTTCTAGCCAATAATATCCAGGTGCCTATTAGGCACAATTCTGAGGGCCTCTTTATAGTAGAAAAAAAGTTAAACTTTGACACCTACTTCAACCATTCTAGAATTAATCTGAGTAAAAATAATCCAAACTATGCTTACCACCTATTTATCATCTAGCAAACCCTTTCTCATTAACTCCCAATTCCAAAAACGAAGCAGCTAGCACATTTCTTAGAATTTAATAAACTTACTATCCAGATTCAAAGTCCTATCTTCTATTACTCTTTCAGTGTCCTTACTTTATTAATCCCTCTATCCCCACTGTCACTATAGTTTTCAAGGCCCTTATCATCAAATATTTGGATTACAAAACTCCTAGAAGTTCTACTTTGTCCCATACCATTTATCTTCCTGTACTTTTTCTTCTTCTAACAATATCACTGTCAAATCACTCAATAAATCAAATCAAACTCTCCTACCCAGATTCCAAGATGTGATACAATCTAGTATCACCCCACCTCTCCCATTATTTCTAAACAACTATTCCATAGTTCAGGCAATCCTCCATTGTTATGAAACCAAAAAGTTTATTTTTTCTGCAAGTTATGAGGTTCTCCATTACTAGAATGTCTCACCTTCCCTTCTGCCCATCATAAGCTTGCTAAGACTAACCCAATTTAAATCCTACCACCTCTAGGATGACTAAGTAGGTATAGCCTTTGAGCAGTAATTCATTTCTGTTATAACTTAGCATCCAGTTGTCTGCTGAAGAACTGAACAGCCTATCAATACTTAAAGCAACTCCATGAGAAAACCAAATCAAATGAACTCCACTGATAATTTAGTGTATAGTCTGCAAGTAAAGATAAGAATAGGGAAGCTAAGTCCATCATAAAGATATAATCATCTTTTATTAATTTTAGAAGTACTTTCAGAATTTGAGTCATGGCCAAATACTTGGAGTACAGTGTTTTACTATCCTGAGCTTTCTCTTTCTTCTAGTATACATGAGACCCTCCACTTTATATGAAGCCAAAGCTGGTGAGTGTGTTTAATGAGACTCACTTAGTACTTAATTTCTGTTAAATGATTACAAAGTAAATAACTGATTATGGAATGCAAATGACTTCACAGTGGATGGGAAATTCAAAGTAACTCTAAAATCAACTCCAAAAGAGTGCTGAGATCATGCCAGAACTTAGAAAATAATACTTGTCCTTTAAGTAGTGACTTTAAAAGTTCATTCAGGTTAGATCTTATATTTTTATTAAATCAATTTTCATTACTATATAGACCTAGATTGAAGTTTTTCATATTTTGGAAAGACTAATATGAAAATACAGAAAAATGTTTTATCAATTGCAATTATTCAAGTAAATTTTACCAGTAACAAAATTTTAAATAACAAGGAAGTAATTTCTCACATTTTAGTCATTGATGGATTTTTATTTGATTTATTTATTTATATGTGGTGCTGAGAATCGAACCCAGTGCCTCACATGTGCTAGGCAAGCGCTCTACCACTGAGCCCCAGCCCCAAAGATACCATTGAATGAACAAAGATGACTCTTTCTTTTTTTTTTAGTTGAATTTCTCACTTTTGAAAGGACTCATCTCTAAACTGAAATTTCTACAAAATATTTAAAGGTCATGCAATTGTCCAAATTAACATTTAGAAGTCACTATCCAATTTTTGCTTTTAGTAAGAAAAAAAGATTAAGACCTTCTCCTTTGTTACCTTCATGTTTACCTGTAGGGAGAAAAAATCATAACTCAAAAACATATTGATATATTTACTCTAGTTAGCCAATAAAGTATATATTTCAAATCAAATCTCATTACAACAAACTTCAAAAGAGCATACAAGTTATAGAACCTCAATATTAAATTCAAGCAGGCATCCATCAGGAAGCTAAGTACCTATTTTTATTAACACAGAATCAAATACAAGAAACAACAAATTTTACTGACTGACTTTATACAAGTATTGATTGTTTTCATTATATTATGTTGACATTAAGTTTATTCTAACGTTATAAATATCTTTTCCACAAATCAATAAACTGTACTTGCAATTCTTCAATTTTTTGCATTAAAAACATATTACTAGAAGGAACTAGCAAAACAAAGTATGGATTACATAGGCAAAAAAAATCTAAAAGAAGTTAATATAATGCAAACTAAAATTTGTGAAACTAATGAGATCTAAGACATTTCTTTAAAGTATACTCCTCCCAAAATCCAGTAGAGCAAAGGGTAGGAACACTCAGTTCTTAAATACTCCTGTCTCTGTACTAAAGAAATATATCTTAAATAAGAAAACAGTGAGACTCCTAAATGGAAAAGAAAAAATAACCAACATCACATGCAACCACTTCTTCATCTGACCCAAGAAACACGTAAAGGCTTTGAATTAATAAGATAATCAACAGCCAGGCATGGTGGCACACGCCTTTAATCCAAGGAACTCAGGAGGCTGAAGGAGGATTTCAAGTTCAAAGCGTGTCTCAGAAACTTGGCGAGGCCATAAGCAACCTGGTTGTAACAAAAACCAAAATATAAGGCTAACCTACAAGATAAAAATTTTTCAACTAATGTGAATCACAAAACAAAAATTAATGTCACAAAATGACAATTGCATTAAACCTCAAAATAGAAATGATGAGCAATAATTATTGGGAGACTTCAAATGTAACTACTTCAACTATGATTTAAATAATCTGTAATAGCAAATTAAAATGACTTGCCTCATGGTGAGCATTTCAATTTTTTTTTATTTTTATTTTTTTTTTTTTGGTGGTGGTGCTAGGGATCAAACCCAGGGCCTCATGCCTTCTAAGCAAGCACTCTACCACTGAGCCACATTCCCAGCCCCAGCATTTCAAATTTTTAATCTTCTAATCTTTTTACTTAAGAAAAGTCATACATGTTAATAATTGCTTTTTTTTTTTTACTTGAAATGCAGTCTGACTTTGTTGTCCAATCTGGCCTCAAATAAACCTACTGTGTCAGCCTCTCAAGCACATACTACCACACCTGGTTCTTACATTTCTTAATAACTACTGGCTCATTTAAGTGAAAATAGTTTAATGAGATAAGCAGCACATCTCCACTTTCCAAATGAAAAAACTGAAATACAAACAGGCTGCAAGGTCATCAGCTTAATAATGACAATGAAAACAGATCTAGGATTCCTCAATCGTCTTCTATTTATAATGGCATCAGTTAACGTATAACACATTTTCAAATACTTACCATAGAAATGTCCAAATCCCATGCTGACTGCAATCACCAAAGCAAGTACAACACACTTATTGAGACCACTACTGAACTGGCGTTTACTCATCTCCTTAGAAGGTTCATTTTCCTGTTCAGCAGGCAATCGTTCCTCAGATTCTGAAGTGGAAATAGTCTTCTTCCTAGCTCGGCGTCGTCTAAAGGCAGGACTAGGTTGATTACTGGTTTCATCACTACTTGATTCACCATCACTAGGCTGAGATGAAAATACTATTTTAAAAAGAAAAATGTTGGTATTTACGTATTAAAACTTTTAGAAAAGCTTTCCCAATAAATATGACTTAGAATAATCAATGCTATCCCTACATGCCTTTTTACATGAAATAGCAAACCAAACAACACAAAAACAATTTTTCAATCTATCAACATAAAGTGAAAGCATAAAAATCCTAGAATGTGATACACAGAAATTTGTTAAAACATATTGCTCCATACCTTGAAATACTGGTTAAAAAAAAAAACAAAAAAACTCCCCCTGGCACTTCATACTTTTATTCTCATAGCCTATTAAATTTCATTGCTATGGGATGCATAAAAAAACAAGTACTAATTCTGAAAGAAAAAAAATCATCTCTCTTCATTCATTTTTTTAAATATATATATTTTTTAGTTGTAGGTACACACAATACCTTTTTTTTTTTAATGTGGTGCTGAGGATCAAACCTAGTGCCTCATATGTGCTAGGCAAGCTCTCTACCACTGAGCCTCAACCCCAGTCCTCTTCATTCATTTCTTAAATTCAACAGTTTAAGGAACCCAGGAACATATACAAGCAGTCCTGTGATTCACAAAGTATAACTACCACCAAAAATTTCCTGGGTCTATCTGGCACCTACTTTCAATTCCATCTACTATCCTAAATCAAGTTCAAAGCACTACAGTTTAACACAGGTTTCCAGAAGTCAGATGAGCCCTTCCCTTCCACTGCCACTCTTACTAGAAGGTTATTAATTTCACCCTCTAGTAAATATGTCAGCATGAGGAAGTGACACAACAGCTATCTCAGATATTAAGGACTTCTTTATGAAAGGATAGCATAGAACAACGAATCAGGAAAAGAAAAACTATACAAAAAATTTTTAAGACCAAGAAAACATTTCCTGGAAACAGCAGCTTCAATTTTATTTTTCCAAATGCTTAATATAACACTTTTACATATTTCAAAACAAACTATTTATTAACACAGAAGATAGATACATCATTCAGTAATGATTTCTACAGGCTGGTTGGAAGTAAAGGAAAGCACTAAAAGTAAGGATAAAATTGAACTTGAGTTTAATACAAAAAGCTTCAAAACAACAGTCATGCTTTAAAAAAAAATAAAATAAAACAGTTCTTTAGAAGACAGGATATCCATGCCACAGGAAAGCTGATTTGGTTAGGCAATGCTTTTTTTAAAAAATAGATCATGGGGGATTCAGTTCACTTTCACATAACAACAAACACAAAGACCAAAGTCACTACTGAATGAACAAATACTCCTAATATTTAGTGATACAGATGCCACTGAGAAATCTTTTGGTCATGCCCCTTATGCCCATCATGTTTATCTGTTTATTCTTGATCACTAGTTTTTCCAAGATGCCGTCACCTCAAGCGTGAGGTTACATTTCTTGGACAAAGTGAAAAAAGGGAAGATTTAAACAAAGCATTACATAATACAAAGGCATTCATGTTCATGGTTAGAATATTTAAATCAGACTTTTGACTCAGAATGATAATAAGTAAATGTAAAAACAAACTGTCAAAATTCCCTGAATAAATTTTGAATACTACCATTAACACATACTGCCTTCATTATGTATTCTAACAAACCAACTTAACCCACATTCAGGTCTTTATCTAATGCTTCCATCTTTTCCACCTATATACATAACAGCTGAAATATTCTGATTTCTAAGCTTTTAAAGCATAATTTGGCCCATCGTCCAGGATGCAAGCAATGCAAAAGGCATGCAATAAGCTCAGTCAGCTTTTTTTATAAAATCAATTTTGAACACCTGTTTAGGGTATCACAGATTATAACAGGTATCTTTGAAGCACATAGTAAGTAGTAAATGTGACTAGACACACTCAGCTCTATAGAAGCTGATCAGATTTAGTCACACCACCTTGGAAAGTGAGTTGGCTAGGAACATGGTGTTTCAGCTGATCATCCCATCCCATTATGCATTCAGGAATCTTCCACAGCTTCTCCCACCATCTTTCTTTTGTGAATAAATAGGGAAAAAAGATGTATAAAGCTTTATTATAAAGAATAAAGAAAATAAATAATTGAAAATATTTATCAAAACATTGTGCTAACTTAAAATCTAATATCATGCCTTTTCAAAAACATATATACAATACATACATCTCTACAGCTACCAACTTGGCCTTTGCGGCCAGGAAAGAGTGTTAATATGAAAGAAGTTGGTATTATTCTTAAAAAGTACATTACTATTAAAATCTAATGTTTCTTCTAAATGTTTTTAGAAGAAAAACATGAAGTCAAAGTAAGGATGAAGAAGAAAGGGAAAGGAAAAAGAAAAATAACTAAGCAATCAAAGGGTAGCATAAAATTAACAAATCAGGAAAAAAAATGAGAATAAGGAAAAGAAAACTCCTGACAACTAATCATATACTGTCTATAATGAGTCCATAAAGACATCTCAGTCAAGAATGGACCACATTTCATTTTTTTTAAACTTTTTTTATTGAAACAATTTCTTTTAGAGAGGGATAAGATTGGGTAAAAATATAGTTAATATTCCTGTTAACTAAATCTGCAAAATTCCCAAGAAGTCTGAGTTCAGAAAAGAGAAAAATATTAAAATTAATGAGCTTAGAGTTATCTAAGGTCCTGAAAAAACAGTCCATAGCCTTTTTTGTGTCTTATATGTCACCCTGGACCCTTCTGCCATACTCCTGCTTCAATTTGACCATTTTGGTCATGCATTTTCTTAAATTAAACCAAAGGGCAGGGGGAGACTATTTGAATACAAAACAAATCCTGGAATGCAAAAACACATCAAAATTTGATCACCTTACTAAATTGTAAAGTTAATTATATTAAGTCCTTATAAATAAATGCACAGTGAATCATTCATTTCCATAGGTCCTATATCCCTCCATTCAATCAACAATGGATTGAAAACATCCACACAAAAAAAAATCTATACCAAACATGTACAGACTTCTTTTTCTTTTAATTCTCTAATGATTTATATAGCCTTTTACAAGATTATAAGTAATGTAGAGATGAGAGGATATGTCTAGGTAATTTGCAAATACTATGCCATTTTATATAAGAAACTTCAGCATCCAGATTTTGGTGTCTGCCAGGGTCAGGGAACCAGCCCTTTGTGAATATCAAGGGATAAGTGGACTAGGTAAGCTATTCTAACAAAGTTTTCCTCTAGCCTCTAAGAACATCAGATGAGTATTTATTTAAATAGTTAAAATGTTTCCAGTTTCTATGGATACACTAAATAAAATCAGCTTATCAAATTGAGATAGCCAAGATCTCAAACTGAATTTTATTAGCTTAAACTCAAATGATGGAAATTCCCTTGTCTGATTCTAGATGCCAAATGTAAATATTAAAGAGAGATTACCTCAGATACTATCTGTTCCTATTTTTCTATCAAATCAGGAAATTTCTGGAATCAAGATTCCAAGTAGCCTCTCCCATAATTCACCTTTATAACTGTGGGTTAATTATAGGTGCATCGTATGATATTTTTCCAGGAAGATTATAACTAAATATTTTAGATCATCTTAAAAGATGTTAAAAACTAACCGTAAGAAGTATGGAAAGGAATAAGCTTAGCAACTCAAAATTTAACCTCCAAATGACTGTGAACAATGAGCATTGGCTGCATTAAGAAAGTGACTTATAATAGGTACATTTTCATAACACAGTCTAAATGAAAGACCCAAGTCAAGGAGTTTTTTTGGAAGACTGCTTTATTAACAGTTCCTTGAACACTGTTTTATACTTGGTAGGTACCATAAATATTTGCTAAATAACTTATAATCAAAGGGATCTGCAAGACTTAAGAATTTTTTTTCAACCAACCCTAGAGCAGTTTCGCACACCTATAATCTCAGTGACTGAGAAGGCTAAGGCAGAAAGACTGCAAGTTCGCAGCTAGCCTCAGCAACTTAGCAAGAACCTGTCTCAAAATAAACAAAAATTTAAAAGGGCTGGGGATGTAGATTAGGGGTAATGCTCCCCTGGGTTAAATTCTCCCCAATTTTTTGCTTTCACTATTTGTATAATACAAATTTGCACTATTATAATTAAAAATGTTAACATCCTCGTCCTTTCAGGTAAGATGTTTCAATTTCCCACTTGTAAAGATCTAAAAAAATAGTAATAATAATAAGCCAAATGCATTTTGAAGTGTTTGGGACTGTAATACATCCTTTAAGAAACTAACTATAGATGGGGTGTAACTCAGTCATACAGCAACTTCCTTGGAAGTGCAATCCCCAGCACTGCAAACAGCACCAGTAAAACCTCCAAGAATCCACCCCCAACTAGGTACTTTTTACTTGCAATTCTCCTGCCTCAGCCTCCAGAGTACCTAGAATGACAAATGTGTACCACTGTGTACCCAGATATGTACCCAGCTCAAGAAAGTCTGTCTTCTATTTAACAATTCAAAAGACAAACATGATTTTAAAAAAGTCTTGTTGTAGCACAACATTGCTCTGCTCCAGGCCATACAATCTAGGAATACCCTAGATATAACCGTAGATTTACAAAAAATTTCTTGAGTTTTACCCAAATATAATCAAAAGTTGAGATTTAGGGTTAGAAAACAAGATTTTATATAAATCTCATATCAGCATATTATCATTATATATGTCTTACCAGTTTCTGGTTGGCAGAATGTATACTGGCTGCTTGAGGAAGAGCCCATGTTAAAATCTTCTGAACTCTGTGCTTCTTTAACAATTGTAACTTCTTGATTTCCAAATTCTTCTAACTTAGGAGGTTCAAGGGTAACAATATCAGAATCATCACTGGCAGTTCCAAAATAGACATTATCTTCAGGTGACCTCTCTTCTTCTACCTAAAATTATCATAATTTTAGAGATAATAAATTATAAAATTATTTAAGAGCCTTATATTTCTATACAATTCAAAATCTATAGGGTAATATAGTAATCTGAGGTTAAAGTAAAATACATGGTTTCCTGTTTTTTCCAGTGCTAGGGATCAAATCCAGGGTCTAGGACATGTTAGACAAGTGCTATACCACTAAGCACTTCCCCCAGCTCCTAAAGATATTATTTCTTACCAACAGTAAAGGATTATGCAATAGAGGCTCATCATTTAACTTGAAACATCATCAAACCCGTTGGCAACTCTCAGATTTAGATGGACCACTTCTTTCTCTGACTGGAATGCAGAAGCTGAGAAAACTACCTTTGCCACCCAATGACCACAGAAAAGAGAGTTGATTTCTCTCACCAGTTCTATGAATTTAAGCATGATTTTGTACTCAGGGAACCTGTTAAAGACTGACTAAATTTTTCTGGTTATGTATGTATTAAACTTGAACAGCTACATCATCTATCTATATAGTTTAAATGTGTCCCCCCAAATTCATATGCTGTAACTTAATCACCAATGTGATTAAGAACCCCCAATGGATGCAAGAAACCATGTACAATATACCACCCTATATATACTATATTTTTTCTATACCATATACATACCTTTTAATTTATAAATTAGGCACAGTAAAAGATTAACAATAATATAAGATATAGAATAATTATAATAATGTACTATGATAAAATTGTATTAATGTATTGTCTCTTTTGAAAAAGTCAAGACAAATACTTTTGGACCACAGCTGACTGCAGGTAACTGAAAAGGGAGAAAGCAAAACCACACATAAGGAGGACTACTGTATTAAGAGTTGGGACCTGGCCAGGCATGGTGAACACTCCTGTAATTCTAGGTACTCAGGAGACTAAGGCAGGAAGATCGAAAGTTTGGGTCCAGTCTGAGCAACTTAGCAAGACCCTGCATCAAAATTTAAAAAGGGTTGGAGATGTAGCTCAATGGCAGAGTGTCCCAGGTTCAATCCCTAGTACTGCAGAAGGAAGAAGGAGGAAGAGAAGAGGGAGGAAAGAGGAGAGAGGAAGGAGAGGAGGAAGAGGAGGCCTACTTCAAACGAAAATTATAATACAGATTAAAAGAACAAGTCTTTAACAGAAGCTAACTTTACCCTTAAAACTGATCAATCTATGGAATCTCAAAATTTTCAATTTACATTGCTTATGATTCAAATAGGAAGAAAATACAGAAATGGAGGCTTCGATTCATATTCTCTAAGGATACTATTTATCATACATTCACAGAGTACAAGTTTACCTCAAATGCTGACGTGGTTTCTTCCAAAGTTGGATAAGCAGTTCCTTCCATTAACAATGTGCTATTTTGGCTGCTTTCTGTTATAATGCAAAGATCAATAAAAATATTCATTTAAAACAGTTGACTCTTTGTAATATAAATACCATCACTGTAGAAGAAATCTATTCTCAATGTTAAAGTAGATGAATGAAAAGTCATACAATTGTAAAAATAACTCTACTGTTACCACATTTTAATTATTTGAAATTGTCAGGAAACAATTTTATTTACTTAAGTGAACTCACTTGGGACCTACTAAGAACTTAAATCAAAGCTAATTTAAGTAAATAAAATCTCTACCTTGTAATAACAAATCACTTAATGAAAAGTGTTTCTAAGAACCCATTAATATGTAAAATACATCTTCAGATACCTGATAGCACATTTCCTGACTTCTTAAAAGTTCATCCAAAATTCCTAAAAATACCACCATTCCAATGGCTATCACTGGCTTGTAATGTAAGAATCAAAGCTGCTTTAAATTGTAAAAAGCTTGTCGGATGCAGTGGCGCCTATAATCTCAGCAGCTTGGGAGGCTGATGCAGGAAGATTGCAAGCTCCAAGCCAGCCTCAGCAACTTAACAAGACCCTCAGCAACTCAGAGAGACCCTGTCTCCTCAAAGAAGAAATGTAAAACGGAATACTGAATTCATTATTTTTTCTCAAAAAGAGTACAAAATGTTAATGGGAGTTAAGTATAATATTAAATACATACATAAGTTATAAAAGAATTATAAGTAGCTGTATATTAAAATCATTTTGGGGACTGGGGTTGTAGTTCAGTGGTAGAGTGCTCGCCTAGCATGTGTAAGGCACTGAGTTCAATCCTCAGCACCACACAAAAATAAAATAAAGATATTATATGTCCACCTACAACTAAAAATATTTTTTAAATCCTTTAAAAATCATTTTCCCTACCATGAACTTTATTTTTATGTATTTTAACTACCTAAGAACAAGAAAAAAAACAGTACTTTTGTGTTGAATAAAAGAATATTATCATCAAAGATGGACTTGGGTCCACAGAGTACCAAGTATGGAAATTTTTTACATATAGGTAAATGCATTTCTTAGGAGAAACTATTCACACCTTTCAGAATCTCAAAGGGATCTGAACTACAAACAATGAGAATATGTGCAAATGAGAATAGTAATCAGCACATAAGCTTAAGAAAAAATTAACAGGTACAATCTCCTCTATTCCTATTTCTGGCCTTGACATACCTACTTTACTCTCCTGAGGGGGAAATGTTCTTCTTACTTTACATTTTAATGAAATTGTGTGTAAGAAGTAGTTTAAATATGAAGATAAGACTACATAGATAGAGGCCATTTGCATTTAATTTGGAGAATGGTTGGTTATGATTGTTGAATGTTATGTAGCTCAATAAATTGCCTCATCCTGTAAGAGGAGACTGAAAAAAAAAAAAAAAAAAAAAAGACTACATAGAAATTGCTTGGGAGTTACAGCAATTATTTGGGAGTCATATGTCTCTACATAAATAACATGCACAAGTTCCACAGGAAGTATATTAACATAGATGCAGTACAGTACATGGTCAAATATCATTTTACTAAATCTTAACTCAAGAACTCCATAGCATGATGATACCTAGAGAATCTCTTCTGATGAAAAGTTTTGTACATTGCTAGCCATAACATTAATAATGGCAAGCAAATACAAAGTACCAAACAAATTCATGTTAAACCACATAATACATAATGTTTAGTCACTGGTTACACCTATGGTATGAAAGACTATGTAGAGGCCCAAACATATTACTGCTGCAAATAATAAACCCTATGGCAGGTTGGTGATACTAGGTTCTGCAAGCCTTCCTAAATCCACTCTGAATTTCTATCTAACCCACACTAAAATTAGTCCTTCAGTAACCAGATCACTAAGATTATCCAAAAAAGCTGACTGCCTAGAAAGAAGTCAAGATTCATAATGGCACTCACATTTTTGTTTTCAATCAGAATTTAACAACTTACCTTCCTGCTCTATCTGCAGTACTTGAACATCCTCCTCTTGTTCTAAAGATGAACATTCTGGGGTGAGCTCACAGCTGTCACTGGTTGTGACAGAATTCACCATCTCTACATCAGACCCCTAGAGAAAAAGTGATACTCAGTTATTTCTCTATTAATTTTTCAAAGCTGGATTTGATTTGTTTTCCATTATTAAAAGTCCCAGATGTTGCCGTACTCCAAAAGGGAATGACATCTAATCCAATGAGCTTTATCCCAGCAACTCAGGAGGCAGAGGAAGAAGGACTGCAAGTTCAAGACCATCCACAGCAACTTAGCTAGGCCCTAAGCAAGAGGCAAGACCTGGTGTCAAAATAAAAAATAAAAAGGGCTGGGGATGAGGCTCAGTGGTTAAGCACCCCTGGATTCAATTCCTGGTACAAAAAAAAAAAAAAAAAAAATCAAATCCAAAATTCAAATTACAATCTGTTCAGAGAAACAGCCACACACAAACAACTTTTTTTTTTTTAATTTTTTAGTTGTAGATGGACCCAATACCTTTATTTTATTTATTTATTTTTATGTGGTGCTGAAGATAGAATCCAGTGCCTCATACATGAGAGGCAAGTGCTCTGCCCCAGGGCCACAATCCCAGCCCAACAACCACTTCTTATGGCAAAGTAAACTGCTATGTTGAAGGAATAATTGTTTTAATATTCATAGATGTACACAATACAATAATATTATTTGGCCAATATCATTCTCCAATATATTTCCCCTTTCCCTCCTTTCCTCCCTCTCCATGGCCCATTTCCTCTATTCTACCAATCTCCCTTCAATTTTCATGAGATCCTTCCTCTACCTTTTCCTTTTTCTTCCTTGGCGTCCACATATGATGGAAGACATATGATCTTGACTTTATGAGCTTGTTTTAATTGCTTAACATAATGTTCTTAAGTTACATCCATCTTCCTGCAAATGACATAATTTCGTTCTTCTTGGCTCAATAAAACTCCATTATGTGTATATACCACATTTTATTCATTCATTCACTGACAGACATCTAGGCTGGGTCCACAGTTTGGCTACTGTGAATTGCACGGCTATGTATTTCTATAGTATGACTTTAATTCTTTAAGATAAATACAAAGGAGTGTTATAGCTGGGTCATATGATGGTTCCATGCCAAGTTTTTTCTGAGGAACTTCCATACTGATTTCCAAAATGGTTACTGTAATTTACAATCCCATTAACAGTGTGAAAGTTTCCTTTCTCCCCATATCATCTGCAGCACTTATTATTGTATTTATATTCTTGATGGCTGCCATTTTAACTGGAGTGAGATGATATCTCAGGGTAGTTTTGATTTGCATTTCCCTAACTACTAATGATGTTGAACATTCTTTCCATATAGTGTTGACCACTTGTATTTCTTCTTTTGAGAAGTGTCTGTTGAGTTCATTTGCCCATTTATTAGTTGTGTTATTGGTGGTGGTGTATTTTATGGGGTTTTTTTTTTTTTTTGGTGTTTGAGTTCTTCATATATTCTAGACAGTAATCCTCTATCAGAAGAGTAGCTAGGCAAGATTTTCTCCCATTCTGGAAGTTCTCTCTTCACTTCCTTTGCTGTGAAGAAGCTTTTTAATTTTATGCTATCCCATTTATTAACTCCTGATATTATTTCCTGGGCTTTCAGGGGTCTGTTGAAGAAGTTATTGCCTGTACCTGTATGCGTTGCCCCAACATTTTCTTTTATGAGTTGCATAGTTTCTGGTCTAATTACTGGATCTTCGATGCATTTTGAGTAGACTTTTGTGCACAATGAGATATAAAGACCTAATTCCACTCTTCTGCACATGGATAACAAATTTTCCCAGCACCATTTGTTAAGAAGGCTGTCTTTTCTCCAATGTATGCTTTTGGTATCTTTGTCAAAGATCAGATGACTGAAAGGCATAAATTAAATGAACCTTTCAGGTTAACAGAAGCCTTTCCTATAACAATTTTTTATTCTGAGGTTATCCTTCATACTTTGTTGTCAGACTGTCTTTCTTTAATAGTGGAATCTTGTGAATTTTTTCCTTGTGTCTTTTTTTTAAGTTATACATGGACACAATGTCTTTATTTTGTTTATTTGTTTTTATGTGGTACTGAGGATCAAACCCAGTGCCTCACACATTCGAGGCAAGCGCTGTGCCACTGAGCCACAGCCCCAGCCCTCCTTGTGTCTTCATAAGCAAAGTTAACCCTGAAGCTGATTCTGCCTCTCCCTATTTTTTCTATCAACTTACAAAATTCAAATATATAACTCACAACAGCAAAAAATAAAAGAATTTGTGAAAGGAATAGGCTTTGAAGACTAAAGAGAAATTTAACATATAACTCAAAACAGCAAAATATAAAAGAAGTTGTGAAAGGAATAACCTTGAAGACTAAAGAGAATTCTAAATGTAAGACTTTAAGGTTGCCTATGGTGGCAAGAGCATGGCAGAAGCAAAGGAAAGGATAGAGCTGATTAGGGGGTTGCTGGAAAGACCAGTTCTGGACCAAATCACAATGGTAATAATGGAAAAGGAAACATATGTATAAGAGACACTAACAAGAGAGCTGAATTTGGTGACTAAATACAGAAGATGAAAGTATAAAAAAACATGACTTACTCTGTGGCATGATGTCTAACACACTTGGCAAATGCCAGAAAAAATAACTGTTTTGTTCTAACCTGCGGGCTCACAGGTAGGATTTCCAATGCTGCCTTGCTCCTGTACTATTAATTATGCTTGAAGGAAAAGAAGCTGCTATGAGTTGACCCAAGCTTTGTAGAAACAGGTAAAAAATAGAAAAATCACTTTGTGTTGGGGGGAAGGTACTGGGAACAGAAACCAGAAATGCTCTACCACTGTGTACATCCCCAGTCCTTTTTTTTTTTCCATTATTTTAAAATCTTAGGATATAGCTAAGTTGCTCAGGCTGGCCTCGAACTTGCAATTTTCCTGCCTTAGCCTCCCAAATTGCTGGAATCACAGGTGTGTGCCATCACACCTGGCATACTTATAAAAATAAAAACAACTTCAAACTCAATTGGTACAGTTGCTATTAAATTTTGAAACTATAAAAGAGAAAAGCAATCTTTTTTATTAATCTTGCTTTCTAGAAGATGACTAATTGTCTAAATATTAAAATAATTATAAGAAAATGTTAAAATTTTTCTATTAATGAAAAATAGGCAAGAAGAGATCCTGAAAACAAAAAATAGGCAAGAAAAGATCCTGAAAACAAACAAGAAAACCACAGATGCTTTGAACAAGTATGGCTGATTTTTACTTTATTGTATCTGAGTGATTTTTTTAAAATAATGAAAGCAGTGTAGAACATAAACCCTTAATAAAAACTTATGATGTTTCTTCTCTTTGTAATGTTTATTACAAACTAGTTATGTGCATTCATTGTATGTATATTACTCCTCTACATAAAACATATTTTGTGATAAAGTTCTAACCATAGTTCTTTAAGTTCTGTTAAGTTCCTATAACATCATAGTTCTGTTAAGTTCCTATAACAACATTCTCCATCTTCCTTTCTGGTCCATCTTCCTTTGGGCCATTCTGTTCTATCCAGGCTTGGATATTTTCTAATTACTTAATTTTTGACAAATTTACCTTTCTAAGCTTCAGTTTTCTTAACTACAAAATAAGAATGAAAACAATCTATATACAGTGAGGTTTTCTTTAATTATATGAGAATTGGATAAAGCACAGAGCCTGACTAGTAATAAATCTCAGTAAAAACGTACCTAACATCTTCAAGCTAAGGAAAGCTATGAACAATAATGCAGACGATACTGGCCCATGAAGAGTTTTCAGCAAAGCAAGCTACAGACAATGGAACCTTTGGCTTAAATGCAGAAAAATGCTGGCCTTCAAAGAACATTTTATATCACTGCTAACACTAAAAGACTACAAATTGGGCTGGGGATATGGCTCAAGCGGTAACACACTTGCCTGCCTTGCGTGCGGCCCGGGTTCGATCCTCAGCACCACATACAAACAAAGATGTTGTGTCTGCTAAAAACTAAAAAATAAATATTTAAAAAATTCTCTCTCTCTCTCCCTCTCTCACACTCTCTCTCTTTAAAAAAAAAAAAAAAAAAAAAAAAAGTCTACAAATTGCCTCATAAAAAGTATTAAAGAGCATACCTCATGATTGATGACAGTCCAACCACAAGATGAATCACTGTCACTGGAATTTTCAGACATTTTTCAGGTCTACAAATACAAGAACATATTGACTTGTGGTACACATTTTTTTTTTAATCTGATAAGAAGCTCTATATGTGACATAAAGTATGAAACGTAGCTTATTGCCTTCCAGATGAAACTAAGACAACCCACCCATAGATTTATCACACAGGATATGATATGATTGCAAACCTTTATGAACAAAAACAACCAAACTTCTAAAAACAAGACGATTCTCCTGAGCTAGAATGGTCTGGGCAATTCTATTATTGGAATGAAGAAGAAAGTTGAGTCTGAAAGAAAATGTAGGATTTGACCAGGCAGAATTAAAGAGGAAGGAGAACCCTATTTAACCACGTCAGACAGTTGAGGTTGGCAGAATGGTGACTGGGGAAGAAATAAACAGTAAAGACCCATATTTTCAATGAACAGTGAGAGGTGTAAAAAGCATGGCTAAAGAAATCAAGCAGTAGGGAGACTGGAAGAGCTCCCCTGCCAAGCAAAATGAAGTCTCTATGTTGGCTATACAAGCAATTTAAATTTTACAAGCAGAGAAGAAACATAAGTTTTTATTAAAATATGTCAGAGATATTTCAGTTGTATTGGATTAAAGTAGGGAAAAATAAAAGGAAAAAAAAAAAAACGAACAGAGGTTGGTTCAAAACTTGTGGTCACTGGCAATGACCTAGAATCAAGTTCTGGATCAGCATACACTGGTCACTTTACCTAGTTTCTTCTCCACTTTCCATCTGAGGCTCCTTTAAACTGCAAAATGCATCTCAACTTGCTCTACACATCTAAATCATATGCTTCTGTTACTGTACATATACTATAAAGATATTATATCCAAGCTGATGGCTACAATACCACTAGAACTCTAGATAATACTGAACTAGTGCTCAAATAAGAACAGGCAAAAAATAAAGATCTGGATCATCTATTGATTCTGGAAACTCTTACAAATTAATATTTTTTAAAAGGAGATACAAAGAGGCTAGTCACTAAACATAAAAAAATGTGCATGTTTTCAGATAAATTATTCAAAATTTGAACATTAAAAATGATCATGTGACTTTTTATGCTATGTTAGAGATTTCTGATAAGTTCACATGAAGTCATCTGTTTTGATTTCTATTTAATTGGTTAGATCAGGTCATCTATAATCCTACAAAATTTCTATAAACTTACAGAAAAGTCTTAGAGTAAAATGAAGTCTTTCTATCCAACAAAGATTATCCAAAAGGCTACAGTATGAATACCTCAAGGAATATTAACCAATGTTATATGTTTAACCTTATCCCAGTATTCTTTGTTAAACTATGTAAATTCCAATTTCTCATCGAAGCAGTTTTCATGAGTTTTAAAAAAACTTTTAATACATATCACTATTTGTATTGTGTTTTATAATAATTTGAAAAGCATACATTGACATATGTGAGCACACAAAGATTGGGCAATTAAATTTGCAGTGGGTAAAGAGGGTTTATATATAATCAAAGGTTTTATAAATGAACCTGCAAATTAGACAGCATATTTTTCAAACTGAATTAACAGCTGCCAAATTTTAGAAATTGAGATATTACATAAAAATAAAGATATCCAGCTTCTTGTTTAAAAAAAAAAAAAATCAGATCTGATAGTAATTTCCTGGTTTCTTTCTTCCTAAGCAAGAAAGGGAAAAAGTATTGGAGCTGGGGTTGTGGCTCAGTGGTAGAGCGCTTGCCTAGGTTCAATTCTCAGCATCACATAGAAATTAATGAACAAAATAAAGGTCCATCAATGTCTAAAAAAAAAATTTTTAAAAAGGGAAAAAGCATTATACAGCAAGAACAGAAGCTGAAAATTTTAGTCTAAGAAAATTCTAAAAAAGGCAATTAATCTAACATGAGTGGAGTGAAAAAAGATCAAATTTGAATTCTGAGAGTATATTATAAGATGGAGAAGGAAGCAACTAAAGGGCCCTAAACCTGTAGGATGCAAACAATGTAATATTCCATGAAAAAGATAAATACTAAACTTAATAAATATTAATGAAGACAGGGCAAATGGCGGGGAACATTTCAGAGAGATTTGAAAAGACATGGAAGACTTTTTTTAAAGGACTAAATAGCCAATCATAGAAAGGGAAAGTACAGGGTAATTTCCAGGTCTCTGGTTTCAGTGACTGGACAACTGGAAAACACATTCCACATGAAACAAGTAAGTGGAGCTCTGTGAACAAGAAAAATCGACTGAAGCCCAAAAAACATTCTTTATCATATGAAAGCTTCTTTCTTTCCTTTGCCTTCCCCACCTTCTAAAACTTCTGTTAATAGCTCACACTCTCACTGTTGCTACATCCCACCTCCATGACTTACTGGAACTTTATTTTCTTAATGCCCCTTCAAACTTCTGATTAGTCATCAGAGATATTTAAATATGCATAAATCTCCTATTCCCTAGGTAATTTCAATTCTTTTAAACAGGTTAGCCCTAGCTTTTTATTTCCAATAAAAAGCATCCTCTATTAACTTTGGAGATGAAATAAAGACATTTCAAAACAAAGTATTAATGTGTACTAATACATTGCCTAACTGTGGATATTTATCAAACTTGAATTTCTCAAATCAATGAGTCTACTTTAATACAATCCCAATTTAAGTCTTTGTTTACTTCCCTGGGGGGGAGTATATGTATGCCCAAACTAACCCAAAAGAGAAAAAAAAAAAAAAACTCACACGGCATATACCATTTTGATAGTATGGGCAAGCAAAGTGACAGGCCTACTAAAGAACCCTCTTAATTTAGTTGTTCTCAAAAAAACAGTTGAAACCCATGTAAATTGGAAAATGCCTGTAATCCCAGCTACTTGGGAGGCTGAGACAAAAGAATCCCAAATTCAAGGCCAGCCTGGGCAACAAACAGAGACCCTATCTCAAAGAACAAAAAGCTCTGGAGATGTAATTCAATGATACCACACCCCTTTGTACAAGGGGAATAAGGAGTTGTGTGTACTATTATCATATAAAAAACTGGTAATTTTCTAAGGCCAACTCTAGACACACTGACTATGAAATATTCCTGTGGTGTTTGAACCTTGCCAGATATCTTCCTAAAATAATCATCTCATTATGCCATTCCTTTAAAATGTTAAAATTTCCATATTGTCTTCAGAATATGACCCAAAGGCCTTAAATATCTTTAATCTCTATCAATTCATCCTCTTTCAAATTATTCTTTTCCTCCAACCTTTTAAATTCCTTTAAAAGTCTCAAGCTGGGGGTGTAGCTTGGTGGTATTATATGTGTTTAGCATGCAAGTGGCCCTGGAATTAATCCCCCACACCAAAAAATTAAAAAATAAAACATTATGCTTTCTCTTTACTCTAGGGCTTTACAAATTGTGATCAGTGGTCTATCCCCTTACTGCAACCCAAACTCTTAAACTCATCTCAGCTAATGCTTCCTTTGTACCATTCCTTGACCCTATTCCCAAAGACTCTAATAGTTTCCCTAATCTGGAACTTAAATTAGAATCCTGTGCTATAATTGTTTATTTGCCCACCTGTTAAGTAAACATTTCTGGATGATGATGTGGTCATTGACACAAGTCCAAATTGTTCCTTAAGGATCTTAAAATTCTGGAGAAACCCATGAGGTTCCTCTCAGCTTATTCTGACCATAGGTAAATGCATAAATTCTTCTCATTTTACTAGGTTTACTAGTAATAACTTAGAAATAACCAGAGTTTATGGAAAATTTACAAAGGAATCATATAGTTACAAAGCTAAGGATATTTTGGAAAGACAATAAACTTGAAAACTTGGCTAAACTCAGGTTTCCTTTTATTCCTTAGGGTAGTCTCTAACTAAATCAGTTATATGTTCCCAATTGCTTTATATTCCATTTGTATATTGCTCAGGCCTTTCAAATACATCTACAAAACAGAAATCATTTTCCTGTTTCTGGTATTTCAGAAAATAGCATTAGCCAAGCTAGGTACGGTGACAAAGGTCTATCATCCCAGCTACTTGGGAGGCTGAGGTAAGAAGATTGCAAGTTTAAGGCCAGCTTTGGCAATCTGCTGAATCTTGCATCAAAACAATTTTTTTTTTTTAAAAGGGTTTGGGATGCAGCTCAGTGGAAGAGTACTTACCAAGCATGCATGATGCCCTGTGTTTAATATCAAACATCTCAAGAAAAAAAAAAATTAGGTGACAGTGGTCAGAATTTCTAATAAGCCAGGCATGATGCTGCACAACAATAATCCCAGAAGCTCAAGAGGTTGAGGCAGTAGGATCATAGATTCAAAGCCAGCCTCAGCAACTTAGTAAGACTGTATTTTGAGACCTGTCTCAAAATAAAAAATAAAAAGGACTGGGGATGTGGCTCAGTGGGTAAGTACCCTTGGGTTCAAGCCCTGGTACAACCAAAAAAAAAAAAAAAACTTGTCAGAATAAGACAGCAATAATATTACTTATACCTCATTAAGTACAACTAGTTTCAATTACCTGATGGTGTACCTCATCATTCCTGAGTAGCTACATTTTACTATGGAAAGGCAAATTTTCCATTTCCCTATCTTCTAGAATTAAAGATGATGGAGAAGAATGAGGGCATTATTATACCATGCTTCTACAATTCCAAAGTAAAGCAAACAATAAGCTGTAAGGGCCAAAAAAAGTGCTGCTATACTGTCAATGTCATCCAAGATAGACAGTCTGGATAGCTTTCACAAATCTTTTTCTACAATGCTTTTCAAAGGTTCCAGATCTTTCATCTACCAAAAGGATATGAAAATGCCTGCTTTAAAAGAAATTTTACCTGAGAGAGAACAACACAGGATTATAACTAATGAAAACTTTAAAATGTCCTTTATAATCAACTTTTTCCAATAGTAACCCTAGAGAAATATTTTAAATAAGCCTATCCTGATCTGAAACATTTAATATTATAGTCATTCATTCAACAAACACTGAGTACTTTACACTGTGCCATGAACTATTCCAAGTGCTAAGAATAAGGACTCAAAAGAAAAAAAAATAAGTCCTCCCTGAAGGGAAGCATACTTTCTAGAAGACAAAAGTAAGCCAGTTGATGAAGGGGAAGGTGCATGAATTGGAATTTTAAAATAGAGTAGCTAGGAAAGATCTCTGGTATTATTACAAAGGAGCACCACCTCAATCCCATTTTATTACTGTTGCTTGTTTGTGTTTTGGTGGTACTGGGGACTGAACCCAGGGCCTCACACATGCTAAGCAGGTGCTCTACCACTCCTCAGCTCTAAGAAAATTTCAGAATTAAATTATGTCAATGGGGAGCAACACCAGAGTCTTCCAGTAGATTCAGAAAAGCCCTTTCATTCTATGAAAGACATATAGGAAGAAAGGATAAATGATAACTTTCATCATTCTAGATAAAACAGGAGTAATGGTTCACACCTGTAATCCCAGTAACTTCCAGTAACTCAGGAAGCTGAGGCAGAAGGATCACAAGTTCAAGGCCTGTCTCAACAACTTAGCAAAGCCCTAAAACAATTTTTTTAAAAGTATGGGGATATTAGTTAAGTGGTAGCACCCTTAGGTTCCATCTCCAGTAATTCAGGGGTCTGGGAGGTAAACAGAAAGATTTCAACACTGGAAGGAGGACACAATGATGGCTCTAGGTTAGAAGGAGAAATAATTGAAAAAGTTCAAGTTTTTTAAACCTGAATCCATGTCATCTGGTAGGAATGAACAGAAATTAGCCTAATGGTATCTTACACAACTTTTTTCCTTAGGTTACTTCTCTAATTAATGTTACATTCAAAATTTTGATAAAGAGCTACAATTTTATTTTTTTAATATCCTTATAACAGCCTAAGTGTTTTAACTGTACTAGTCAGAAAACACCATGCAATATTTATCTATAATCTCTTAGCATTTATTTTATCTACAGTAGAGAACATATAAGCATTTATTCACTAAATGGATCAGAAATAAGGATGAACTTAAGGATCAGAAATAACCCCATCCCTAAACTTGCATCTCTTAAATTTCACATAATTATGAACAGTTCTTATTTAGTTTTAAGAAGTACTCAAGATCATTGAAATGGAACACAATCACTATGATGGCAAAACAGAAAAACTTAAGTAATCCGCTATTATCTAACAATCTCACCCATAGCTAGTCTGCCACTCTTTTGCTTCCTCATAAAGTCTCCAGCAGCAAAGAAGAAAAATTTGATGATGGTTAATGACACAGTACCCCAGTGTCCTGACCCATTACTGGACTCCTCAGCTTCATAATGACCTCTTACCAAAGCCTGACAGAAGGAATTAAGGAACAAGATGACAGTTGCCAGCTGGAGCTGGCCTCTGTATCACTTCACCTTGCTTTCAGCAATCAAAAGATGGCTACCCTTCTAGATGAAATACTAAATACAATATCAATGTAACATAGAAGATAGTAAAGTCTAGTTCAGTTCTGTTCAAGGACATTTTACCATCTTCAATTGTGTTGCAAAGACAGAGAACCTCCATGAGTATCAAAAGTTTGCTTCCTTGTGATACTACCCATCTACATTAACAGTCACCAAGAAAAACAGCCTTGCAGGGTGTGGTGATGCATGCCTGTAATTCCAGCAACTTGATACTGTTCTAAACTTTTTTTTTTGGATTGAACCCAGAGGCAATTAACCAATTAGCTGCATCCCCAGCCCTTTTATTTTTCATTTTGAGAAAGGGTCTTACTAAGTTGCTGAGGCTGGCCTCAAATTTGCAATCTTCCTGTCTCAGACTCTCAAATTCCATGGGATTACATATGTGTACCATACTGAACCTGGCTAAACCTTTCTCTTTGAAACAAGGTTTGCTATGTTGCCCAGGCTGGTCTTGAACTCCTGGGCTCAAGTGATCCTTCTGTTTCAACTTCCCAAGCATCTGGGAATACAGGTGTGCACTACCTCACCCAGCAAAATCATTTTAATTATTACTCTTTATAGCTCAAAGAAGACTTTGGAAATTAAGAAATACAATATCAGTACAAAGAAAGAGTAAAACATTCAGATAAATTGGGTGTGGAGGTACACAGGCCTGTAATCCTAGCTACTGAGAGGCTGAGCCAAGAGAATCCCAAGTATGAGGCCATGGATAAGACCATGACTCAAAATAAAAAGAGTTGAGGATGTAGTTAAATGGTAGAGTATTTGCCTAGCTTATGTGAAGCCCTGGATTCAATTCCCAGCACCAGTTATTAAAAAATGAAAATATGTTTTTAAAAAAGCATGGCCAGGGCTGGGATTGTGGCTCAGAGGTAGAGCGCTCCCCTAGCACAGGTGAGACCCGGGTTCGATCCTCAGCACCACATTAAAAATAAAGGCATTGTGCTATGACCATCTATACCAAAAAAAAAAAAAAGAAAAAAAAGCATAGCCAAAGGAAAAGGAAAAGTCTTTCTTAATAGTGAGAACAGTTTACATTTTACAACAAATTTTATTTAAATGCAACTGAGATACATACTTCCAAAGATTTTATGAGCAGTTGGGCCAACAAGTTTTATCCTTACTTTTTCTATTGTCGTGTTTTAGAACTGGGGGGGAGCACTTTACAACATGAATAGGATTATATTAGGTCATAAAGGTAGAGCCATGATTAAATACTGATGCTTCCTTGTCTTGTGTCATGTGATGTCCTGTGCCACCTTGGGACTCTGACAGCAATAAGCCCATCACCTGATTGGGGGGGTAGAGGAGGCTGGAACTTCCAGAACTTCTGAGCTAAATAAACTTCTTTATAAAGTTAATTTAGTCTCAGGTATTTTGTTATAATAACACCAACAGCCTCATGTATTGCTCTGAAGGAAGAAAGGGTCTTTAGTCCTATTCTTGAGAGCAGAGAGAAATTTCCACTCTATAGGTTTCTTTTATCCAGTCTGATCTTAAGTGAAAGGCCCTTTAAGTCCCCTATAATATCAAACATTTTTCAGCCCCATATCCTGGCAATTAAAAAAAAAAATAGGGCTGGGGATGTGGCTCAAGCAGTAGCGCGCTCGCCTGGCATGCATGCGGCCCGGGTTCGATCCTCAGCACCACATACAAAACAAAGATGTTGTGTCCGCCGATAACTAAGAAATAAATATTAAAAAAAATTTCTCTCTCTCTCTCCCTCTCTCTTTAAAAAAAAAAAAAAATGGTGCCAGGCGCAGTGGTGGACACCTGTATTCCCAGTGGCTCCAGAGGCTGAGACAGGAAGATTATGAGTTCAAAGCCAGCCTCAGCAAAGCAAGATGGATGTTAAGCAAATCAGTGAGACCCTGTCACTAAATAAAATACAAAATAGGGCTGGGGATGTGGCTGAGTAGTTGAGTGCCCCAGAGTTTAATCCCTGATAACACACACACACACACAAAAAAAAACCTTGCTAGATCCCCACCCCTACCAGTGTATTCTTCCACTGAGCTATACCACCCAGGGCCTATTTTTTTTTTATTTTAAAATAAGATTTCACCAAGTAGCCCAGGCAGTCATCGAATTTATAGTCCTCCTGCCTCAGCCTCCTGAATAACTGGGATTACAGGCATGTGATACCACACCCAGCTCTTGAAGGGATCTTTTAACTATTACAAGCAGATAAATCTTACAGCAAGTTTTTACCAGTGAGAGTCCAAAGTAAATTGGTTTCCAAACAGCTCCAAGAGACAAAAGATTTGATGAGAAATTCTGAATATGGAATTCATAATTTCACTATTTTTTTATATGGAATAATTTTTTTTAAAGCAGTACCAGGGTTAAAACTCAGGGCCTTGCAAGGCAACCATTCTACCACTGACAGTGCCCACCAAATTTGTTTTTTAATTTTATTTTTGAGATAGGGTCTTATAAATGGTCCAGACTGGATTCTAAACTGCAATCCTCCTGCCTCAGCCTCCCAAGAAGGTGGGATTACAGAGGTGTACCACTACTCTTGGTTCAATATATTAAAAATATAGAGGTACTTACCCACACAAAAAATTAAAGGGTATTTTCAATTAAAAAAAAACATAAAATTACATGTGCAATGTCTGCTAAATTTTCAGCATTCATTTATTACCTTTCTGAATCAGGGAAAAAAACACATTTTTTTTTTAAATGAAAAGACAAGCCATTTTTAAGCATAGGGAATGACAAACACAAATCCTTAAAGAAACTTAACAGGTTACCTTAAAATCTTTACTATCTGGGCTTTTGATAAGTTCAGTCCTCAGGGTGGCAATTATAGCATCAAGAAGTAGATCCCATGGCTATCCTGCCTCTTATATTCATGATCAAAGTGGAAATAACCCACCCATTAAGCAGGGTCTCCCAGTTCTCATAAAGTACAAAAACCCTAAAATTTATTACTAAACATAGGTACCTGAAAAAAACCTAGAAAAGGGGGAATAATTTCATTTTATCCATGCCCATAAAGAGGAAGTAATACTGTTAACATACAGCAAAGTAACCTTTTGATCTAAAAAATAAATTCTGCAAGAGAAGTGAGTCAATACACAATTACTTCACACATTTCCTTCTTTGATGTAACATAATTGGGAAACAAAAGTAATTACTGCCACATCTGAAGATAAAAGTTTCCCTTTTTGCCTTAATTTAAAAGAAGCCACAGAGGAAAAAATAACTGCTAGTATAGTATTCTTTTCAAAGGATATTCTCATTGTGAGAAAAATCTTGATTTTCCCATGTTGTTATATCTTAATTTTATAAAAGTCTGGAAGGGCTAAAAGATATATAAAACACACAAATCTACAGTCTGTCCTCACTTGGGTACGACTGTAAGCCACGGGTGCTCTTTTTCCTTTGTATAGAGAAATAAATTTTAAAAATACTAGATCCTGGTTGGGTTTTGCTATTCTCAAACTTTCATTTTTCTACAGGATAAAAGTATAGATCTGGGGTTGTGGCTCAGTGGTAGAATGCTCACCTAGCATTCATGAAGCACTGGGTTCAATCCTCAGCACCTTTATTTTTAAAGGTATTGTATCCACCTACAACTAAAAAAAAATAATTATTAGAAAAAAAGATGGATTTCTCACTTAAAAGAATTACCAACCCATGATACAATTTATATTTGTCTTTTATTTTCATTTACCTCTATGTACTCTGATAGACTCCTTATAATATATTCCTAAATTACTAAGACTTTTCATTTGAATGCTGTTTGTCAACAAAACTTGAAGTTAATCTCCATAGTCAGATGCTATAACAGCCAGGGCTGACTTCTCCAGAAGGAGATGGCTAAACTTTACTGCTTATGTAAGCAATGTTATCTCTCAGAGGACCTGGGATTTCATACTTAATGTAGTCTCATTTCTCATAAAATTAATTTAATGTCTCATTTTAGAACATTTTAGAAAGAGTAGCCACTTCCTATTAAAATAGGGCTCCAATAATCTCTTTTAGATGTGAGATTAAAACAAAAATTAAAAACCCAACCACAGAAACACACTACTGTTTCAAGGCCTTTAATGCAGCAGAGTGCAAAGTCACAGTCAGAAGAGGAGCCAGGTTTTCTTCAACCTAAAAAATGCCACCAAGCTCACTAAGAAATCATATGAAGCTCCATTTGACTTTAATGAAACTTCATCAAGAAGCATTTATCATGTCAAGTCATCATACTTCAAGTGTATAATATACTTTATGTAAATGTCATTTATGCAGGCCAATAATACTGTCACTTACAAATCATGTCTGATTTGATCTTCAGAAAAAGAAGTAAGGCAACTGGTTGCTATTATTGTGTTATTGCAATTTATAAATGGAAATAGATACTCCTAAATTAAATTACTTGCCCAACATCATAAAACATCCTGATTCCCAATCCAATGCCCCTTTTACTCTTCATTAAGCTGGCAATATGAAGCAGAAAATTTTGAAAGGATAGTGATTTATAGACAATATTCAAGAAAAATTAGATTTTTGGCTTCATGTGATTAAAGAGGAAAATCTTTAATTCACACTACTTATTTTCTAATATTCTTCAGAAAATCTTAAAGCCTCTTTTACAGCTTACGTTATCATACGTTAAATTCCCTTTTTTAAAAAAATCCCTAACTTTGTTAGATGCAATCCTTTGCACATTATGGGGCTAAGTTTCATCTTCGAACTCAAATTGAGAGATGATTTACTCAATTTTTTTTCTGGTGTTAGACACTGAAAAAGACCTTCGAAACCAACTTATATTTTTAGATGTTTAAATCTCATCAAATTTGCAGAACTGTCAGGAAGGAAATCCTTCAAAATACAGTAGTTGTCACTTAGATTATGGCCACTTCCTTACCTTAACCACACAAACACAAAAATAATTCAGCCTCTAGTGGTTCTGCATTGTTAGATGAGTCTGCATTTTGTTTTAAAACACCACGGATTTAATTGGCTTTGTTGCTGTGTCCATGTTCTTAACATTTTCAGAAACTACTATTTTTTTTTTAAATTATTCTGGCAGTTCATACTCAGACCTCATTTTTTAAAATCTTTAATTTAGATAGGAATACAATTACATCTACTCAAAAATCAGACATGTTAATGTATTATGAATACTTCTTATGCTTTGTTAAGAGGATCCAAATCCTAACATAGTAAACCAACAAAGTACACAAAATATACAAAATTAAAATGTAGAAAATATAGAACAGAAATTTAAAGAAGGAACACTCCAAACAAGGCAACCTAAAAAAATAAAATATGAATACTATTGCCTAAAAAATAACAACATAGATATTTTATTAAGAATTAACGGCATTAGCCAATATTGGTGCATGCCTATAATTCCAGCAACTTAGGAAGTTGAGGGAAGAGGATCATGAGTTCAAACCCAGCCTCAGCAACTTATAGGGACCCTATGTAACTCAGTGAGACCCTGTCTATAAAAAAGAGCTGGAGATGTGGCTTGGTGGGTAAGCCCCCCTGTGTTCAATCCCTGGTACCAAAACAAAACAACAAAAAAAAAATTAATGGCACTGAGGCATTAAGAATTAACTTGGCAGGCTGAGGTTGTGGCTCAGCAGCAGAGTGTTCACCTAGCACGTATGAGGCACCAGGTTCAATCCTGGGAACCACATAATAAATAAATAAACAAACAAACAAATAAAAAGGTATTGTGTCCAGCTACAACTTAAAAAAAAAAAAAACTAATTAACTTGGCATTGAGTTAAATAATTTTTTAAAGTGACTGATAATAGCAAAAATGCATACAGTATTGCTATGGAAGAACAATGTGGTCTTTGTGTCACAAAACAAATGTGAACTAAATAATTATGCTACTTACCTATCCATACCCAACATAACAGTAACAGAAAATAAAATAAAAATAAATGCAAAATATCAGACATATAAAATATAGTACTCAAAGTGATTCCATGTTAATAAGATTAAAATACCTGGTTATAATAATGCTTAAAAATAATAAACAAATTCTGCTACTTTCAGATCTTTCCAGTAGGTCCAATCTTTCTTCACCTGATGAATTTATAGGAATTGTCCAGACTTAACTCATGAAAGGCTAAGTACTTTTATCTTTGATCTTACTGTACAAGGTGGAAAAAAAATCAAAAAATGCTAAGTACAAATGCTAAGAATTATTATCATCTACATTTTTTATTCCTTCCAATGCAACTAATTCATTTATTTTCCCTTCTTCTCTCCAAAATAATTTACTTTTAAATTCATACAGTCTGTAGATTCAGCAACAGGGACTGTTTTTGTTGTTGTAAATACTTTTTAAAGTAATGTTTGATTAATCCATATAAATGAAATGAAACTGCTGCATTCCTTTTCTTTCTATAGAAAATTTGAAAAATACAGCAAAGGGGGCTGGGAATGTGGTTGGAGAGGTAACGCGCTCGCCCGGCATGCGCGGGGCGCTGGGTTCGATCTTCAGCACCACATACAAATAAAATAAAGATGTTGTGTCCGCCGAAAACTGAAAAATAAATATTAAAAAAAAAACTGCAAAGTAAAGAAAAAATAATTCGTACTTGCACGTTGAATATCTTTTGGCCTTATTTTTCAATAGAAATATAAGCACCTTCTTATTCTATATCTTGGTATTCAAAATTGTCTCTAATTACACTATCTTCTAACCTGTTTTTATTTTAAAATAAGTTTTTCCCAAAGCCTTTAAATATGGTTTAGAATTTTTTTTCCAGGACTAGGTATGAAACCCAAGGCCTCCTGCATACTAGAAAAGCATAAATAGTAATAGTAAATTAGTAATAGAATAGTAAACCATTCACATTAGCTATGTATGACAAATAACCCTGGGAAATGTGGGGTCTAGTCAACCCTTAAGCCAAAGTATGATCTGCTAACAGTGTCATCTCAAGCACTACTTAGTGGCTGTGACCTTATGGCAGATTACTCCCAAAATTCTCAATACTAAAGTACTTATCTATTCTAGTTACAAGAAACCTCCATTCTGGCTTTAATAAAGCTAGAGGGGGATAGTGCAAATTTCACCACTCAACCAAATACTTTAATTGGCTGAGTTTGTTACAATTGTCGTTCCCAATGGCAAAGAGTTGGGGTTCATTAAATACAGCCAAATATGTAACACACACAAGACGTCGCGTGGGACAGCTGCTACTGAGGACAAGTCCTTTAGGAAGACTAGCTAAAGGAGGCCGCTGGAGAGAGAGAAAGGTAGGGAGGAGGAGGCTGGCGTTGGAGGAGAAATCTCAGCTGCATTGTTTTACCTTTACTCTTTCTATTCCTGGCATCACGGGGCTCAAACGTCATCAAAATAGAAAGACCGAAGAGGCAAGCAAAGTGACGCACACGTGTTACCATATGGATTCCATCAGTCCGGACGAGAATCGCCTCAAGCCCTACCCGGCAAAGGGAGGGTCCGCTGGGGCATCAGCTCCCCCACCCCGGCAACCCCTCAGGACTGCACGCTGGGGTCAGAGGCTGCAGACCACAGGACCTGACGCCTCAGGGGCCAGCCCGGTCCCCGGGGGCTCTGGACTGGGGTTCAAGGAGCTCGCCCGTGGGGCCGCGCGCGCCAGGGGTCAAGTTCCCCCTCGAGCAGCCCCGCGCAGGAGGGAGACCTCCACTCTGCCCCCGCGAGACGGCGGAGCTGAGGGTGTAAATTACGGCTGACTACAGTCCGCCCCGACCCCGCTCCCGGGGTCTAAACTCGCCCAAGACTGTACCTGACGCGGCAGCGCCACCTCCACCAGACGCAGCCGGCTGTCACTGTGGCGGCGGTCACGGCTTCGGGCGCCAGTGACGCCTCTCTTAAAAACAACAACCTGCTAGGAGGCGTCCGCAGCCGGGAGGCGGCGGCTGGCGAGGTGCCCCAGCGCATGCCGGGACTTGTAGTCCACCCCGCGCCTCAGGCCCGGCGGCGGCAGAGAAGAGAACTACAACTCCCGAAGAGGAGTGCAGCCTGCCCTGAGGAGGCCAAAGGAAGCTGGGGCAAACCACCGCGGATCCTCACAACATCCGGGCCCCGGCGCCCGCGGCCAGTTGCTATGGAGACAAGCTGCAACCACTCGAAAGGATTCGCGGTTTTGCCAGGCAATACAACTCCATGGATTAGGCAGATCGTTTTATACAGAGGGATCCAGCCAAGGATTCAGACTTTTTGCTGCTTTAATTGGGTGTAGTTTCCTGGGCAGTTGCCGGACTTCTTGCCTTCCGCCGCAGGAAAAGACTCCGTTTGCCGAAAAATTGAGGAAGATAGAATGACGGACTGCGACTGGGTGGGTTTGTGCAGAAGGCTAGAGTTTTTACATTTTCAAATGTAAAATGAGCGCTTAATTAAGTCATTGTTGATCTGAAGGTATAAATGATATTGGGGAATGGTACACACTGGTACTCCAGGGCAAACTGGCGGTAGTTTGAACAAGAATACCGTAGCTTAATTTTAATATCATGTTTATATACATTGTGTCTTTTCCAAAAAGGATATGAGGGGAAAATACACTTATAATCACTGTAAATGGTCTGTGGAAAGTAAGGTTTAAGCAATTTGGAGGACTTAATAAGACCTGGTCTCAAAATAAACTAAAAAGACTGGGAGGGCTGGGGCTGTAGCTCAGTGGCAGAGGGCTTGCCTCGCATGTGTTCCATCCCCAGCACCACATAGAAAATAAGTTAAAAGTATTCTGTTCATCTTCCAAAAAAAAAAAGGGTTGGGAATGTAGCTCATGAAAGAGGGCTTGCCTGGCATGCAAAAGACTTTGGGTTCAATCCCCAGTGCTACAAAAAAAGGAAAAAAAAAGTTTGAAAAGGGCATATGCCGAACAAGAAGAGCCACATTGAAGGCCTGTGTGGTTAAGTAAAAACAACACATAATTTTGTTTCTGAATCTACAAATATTTGAGAATTATTGATATCGCCAGTTATTGGTGAGGAGTCCTGCTTTCCCACATGTTGAAGTTTGAACATTATAGAAGCATGCTGAGGCAAGCATATAAAGCAGGGTTTATTTAAAAAGGGGTAACAGATTTCTCCCTGGAGGGAGAAGGGGGCCATAGCTGGTATCCTGGTACTCCAAGAAGTGAGGTGTTCTACTCTTTTTTTTAAGTCCTAGTCTTATCTTTCTCCTACCTGCATCTGTGACTAGGCCCTGGAATGCTCGGTAGGATGGCCCAAAGGTAGGAAACAGGTGGGCTGAAGGGGGAAGGGCAGGTTGGAGAAGCCAAGGACACATTAACATCCCCTAGCTCCCTGTAGGGAGGGGCAAATTCCTGGAACAGGTTACCTACATCACAGATTGGAACTGGGCAGGTTCTTGATAAGGGTGGAGGAAGGTCTCTGAAGGAATTAACATTTCGATCCCTTAGGGGATGACAGTCTCCAACTTCCCAGAATCACTCAAAATTGGCCTCCTTGATCCGACCTGACTCGATTTACCTATCTATACTGACTGCCTGATTCTGGCTTCATTATCGTGGAGATCTAAGATTTCAGTCTAACTTACAGATTTTGTGGTATATGTTAAACCAACAAAGTTTATCAGCTAATTTGTCTTCTGTTTTAACTAGATTTGGTTTTCTTTCATTTCTTATATCACTCTCTTCTGATACTATTGAAAAAGTAAAATGTTCATAATATGTATTTGCACTTTTTGTAAAAACGAAATTCTTTTTCCTCTATTGTCTCATTTTTTTTAAGAGAGAGAGAGGAGAGAGAATTTTTAATATTTATTTTTTTAGTTTTCGGCGGACACAATATCTTTGTTTGTATGTGGTGCCTAGGACCCACACGCATGCCAGGGAGCGCGCTACCGCTTGAGCCACATCCCTAGCCCCAAATTGTCTCATTTTTTTAAAGGTCCCTTATGAAAAAGGAGTGGGTAGAAATGGAAGTGGGGGTAGAGGGATAGATTTGGTTTTCTGTATTACATGTTGAGCCAAACTGATCAGAATTTTAGAGCCAATGACAAAAAGGGTTATTTGATGAAAAAAAGTTCTCATGACTAAAGGCAATAGTATTTACTTTAAAAAAAAAAAAAAAAAAGCCCACAATCTGGGATATAACTCAGAGGTAAAGCATGACTGAGTTCAATCCCCTGCTTTATATGCTTGCCTCAGCATGCTTCTATAATGTTCAAACTTGGGCAATCTGCCTAGGTGCCCATAACAGTAAATTAGGACCAGGTGCAGTGACCAGGTGTGTAATCCCAACTGCTGGGGAAGCTGAGACAGGAAGCCAGCCAGGACAATTTAGCAAGACCCTATCTGAAAATTTTTAAAAAAGGGCCACGGATGTAGCTCAGTGATAGAGCACTTGCTTGCTTCATGCATGAAGCCCTGAGATCAATACCCAGTTAAAATGAAAAACAGAAAGAGACATTATTAAAGATAAAACATTTTTATACACGTGTTAGAAAGCTACAAGCAGTTTTGCATCCATTTTTTTAAACATCTTGCTGCCTCCTTCCCTCAAATGACTAAATTTCAAATGTGTTTACTATGTCCATGTCTGTGCCACACACTACATGGACTACTACAGCTCCTCTCCACTTTTACACAAGGCTCCTAGAGAAACCAAAGCAATTTTATTAAAAATTACACCATACTTTCCTTAAAACCCTTCAAGAGTTTTCCATTGCTTTTATCTTATTATTTTTTTTTTCTGGTACTTGAGATTGAACTCAGTCATGCTTTACCTCTGAGTTATATCCTCAAACCTTTTAAGATAGGGTCTCACTAAATTGCTGAGGTTGGCCTCGAACTTTTGATTCCCCTGCCTCAGCCTCCTGAGTCCCTGCATTACAGCCATGCTCTATTGTGCCCTGCTCAAAAAAAAAAAAAGAGAGAGAGAGAACTGAACCCAGACCACTCTACCACTGAGATACATCCCCAATCCTTTTTTTTTTTTCTTTAAGACATGATCTAATTTGCTGAGGCTAACCTTGAATTTGAGATCCTCCTGCTGCATCCTCCCATATCACTGGGATTACAGGTATGCACCACCACAGCCTGCTCAAATTTTTACCATAATTACCAAGATCCTGCAAGATCTGGCTTCAGCCTCTTATATTATCTAAAAACATTTTCACCCTAATTTACGTGACTTTGGCCAAGATTTTTGCTTCCATCTCTTTTCCTACCTTGCTTTCTACCTTTAGGTTTAATAAAACTTCACCAGAACAGCCCTCCCTACCCCCAACACTAGATTAAAGCCCCCCAGTATATCTTCATATCTTGTATTTTTCTTCATAGCACTTATCCCAGTTTCCCAGTTGTGCTTATTCTGTTAGCTGTAATTCTTTGTTATGGCTATCCCCTAGAAAAATTGAGGTATACTCCCTCTTCAGCTATGACTATTATTATAAACTTTTCCTATAAATTAATTTTTTCCCCTCAGTACTGGGGATTGAACCCAGGGGCACTTTACTACTGAGCTATATCCTGGCCCTTTTTGGTTTTTTGAGACAGGATCTCACTAAATTGCACAGGCTGGCCTCCCTAATAGCTGAAATTACAGGCATACACCACCATACCCAGCTTGATTTATAAATCTTTAATCAATTTTCATAGTGCTAGTATAACATGTTTATGAATATTTTGACAAGTTTCTCTGAACCAAATAAAGCTCATTTAGCAGGTAGTCTTCAATACCCTCAAGGGAATAGCATTTCCCCCCCAAAAAAGGGGTATGAAAGGAATAAGTTTAATTCTATTTTTTAATAATTGAGAATGGTTTTATATATTTATCTTTTAGGATAAGAAGAGTACTTCAGCTTCAAAGTCAGACACAGGAATGAAACCTGAACAACTGCTTCCTTGTGTGAACCCTGGCAATCCTGTGTTTTCCTGTATGTTGGACCCAAAGACCCTCCATACAGCTACTTCACTATCAAAACCTCAGATGATTATGTACAAAACCAATTCAAGTCATTATGGTGAATTTGTTCCTTTGCCACAGTTTCTCCCCTGCAATTATACTCCAAGGGAGCAAGGATTTTCAAACCATATTAGCGCAACTGGACTTTATCAAAATAACAGTCTAAATACTGCACCTGATAGAAACAGAACCCTTGATTTTCCTAATTTTCAACATACTCTATGAAAATATATTCCTTTTGCAACAGGGATTTACTTGATGCTTTGACTATATCCCTTGTGGCTTTGAAACTTATGTTTTGTTTTGTTTTTTCTTTTTCCTAACCTTCTCCCTGATCTTCTCTTTCCTAAACTTTTCCCTGATGTTATTGATCTCTTTTTCCTCAATCTTCTCCCCATAGTCTTTTTCCCTGACCTTCTCCTTTCTGATCCCTCCTCCATAATCTCATGTTCTCTGAATCACCCCTGTTCCTGCTGATGGGTAGAATCACAGCCTTTGGGACAGGAGTCCCCTGTGTTTCTCATTTGCTAATGAAGCAATAAACCTTCTTTTTCCTTTTTCTCAAAATCTTGTCCTCGTTATTGCATTGGCATTGGGGATAAGGACGGAGCTTTCAGCAACACTTTTGACAATTTAAGAGAAAATATGCCTTAATTTGTTTTTGGACTTGTAGATGTGTAATGCCAGATTTGTGGGACCCCAGTAGACCTCCAGGAGCCGAATCCGATGCAATCACATAAGAGTCTTTATTGCAAGCTCGAGCCTGGACTCACAACCGTTTCCGATGCAGCATTCCCCGGGAGTGAGTCCTGGCCCTTAGTTCAGTGAGGATTTATAGGTTTTGGGGGGATACTCTATGCGTCACAACATCACACAGCAAATCATTTCACACCATGGGAAAATCAAACAACTACTCTTAACATTGATTAGCACGTTCACTGGTGGGAACAAGTTGGGTAAGGATGATTGGTGAGTTCAAGTGATGGATACATTTGTACTGATTGGTTTAGGCCACGAGGGGTTGCAAGAGTGTATATGCTAAACTGCAGGATGACCTGGCTGGGGATGTGGCTCAAGCGATAGCGCGCTCGCCTGGCATGCATGTGGCCCGGGTTCTATCCTCAGCACCACATACAAACAAGGATGTTGTGTCCGCCGAAAACTAAAAAAATAAATAAATATTAAAAAAAAAATTCTCTCTCTCCCTCTTAAAAAAATAAAAATAAATTAAAAAATAAAATAAATAAACTGCAGGGTGACCTAATCTTCTTACCAATCACCAGAAATTACTGGGAAGGTCACCTGGCATTTCAGATATTTTCCCTGTCTCATGGTGATTGGTGGTTGCTCACCTGGCACTCCAGATCTTTCCTGTTAAACAACTCAGCAGGGTTGATGTGTGCCTAGGAGCCTTGTGTGGGTTTTTCCAAGGACAAGGGTCATGCCCCCTCCCTCTGGACAGGCCTTGAGGTAGAAGCTGGTTTCTAAAAAATGGAGTCACATCAGTTTCTCAGATGGACAGAATGACTTTATTTATTTTTATGCAGTGCTAAGGATCAAACCCAGTGCCTCACATGTGCTAGGCAAGCACTCTGCCACTGAGCTATAGCCCCAGCCCAAGTATGATTTTTAAAAATAATGTTAGAACGCCCAATTTAAAACATAGATTTGAATCAATTTTCTTAAAAACCTTTTTAAGAAATAAGGAATTTCCTGCTGGAATTGTGGCTCAGAGGTAGATTGCTCGCCTAGCATTGTGAGGCACTGGGTTTGATCCTCAGCACCACATAAAAATAAAGGTATTGTGTCCACCTACAACTAAAAAAAATTGAAAGAAGGAATTTCAACTGATAACTAAATGATAGTGAACTTTTAAATAAAAATGTACTTGAAAATAGTAAAAGTTAGAAAGTATGTTTGTATGTCCTAATGGGAATGAAGCACAGGAACTTGCACTTGCTAGGCTAGTGCTACATGGCTTAGCTACAGCCTCAGCTCTTTTTTTTTTTTTTTTTTTTTTTTTGGAGACAGGGTCTCCCTAACTTGCCCAGGCTTGTCTTGCACTTGGGAACTTGGGGTCTTGTCTCACCTCCTGGGGAGCTGGTATTACACACATAAACCATCATGCCTGGCTCCTAGTTATTAATACATGTACTCCAAATCTTTCAAAATGATTTTCATGATCCTATTTATCTACTACTTATTGAGACAAAAGAACACAGGAGTTCTAAGGAAAAATCTGAATTAAGAAAGACTCTGGGGTTGTGGCTCAGTGGTAGAGCGTTTGCCTACCATGTGTGAGGTACTAGATTCAATTCTCAGCACCACATATAAACAAATAAATAAAGGTTCGTCAATAACTAATAAAAATTTTAAAAAAAGACTCTGGCCAGACATGATGGCACATGCCTGTAATCCCAGCGGCTGGTGGAGGCTGTGACAGGAGAATTGCGAGTTCAAAGTCAGGCTCAGCAAAAGTGAGGTGCTAAGCAATGCAGTGAGACTCTGTTTCTAAATAAAATTCTAAGTGTTATGCTCGAATTCGGGACCCCCAAAAGACCACCAGAGACCAAGATCGATGTAAACAGCAAAGAGGTGTTTATTGCGAGCTAGCTCGGTCCTCAGCACGCACACACAGCAACTGGTGACTCTGAGAGGCCCCAAGCCCAGGGTTTGCAGCAGTTTTATACATTCTTTGGAGAAGGCAGGGACCCCCACATAACATCATAGCATCTCTTAGCAAATCATCACACACCATGGGAAAATTAAATAACAACTCTAAAACATGATTGGCACATTCACTGGAGGGAACAAGTTGGGGAGGGGTGATTGGTTACTACAAGAGGGGGATTCATTTGAACTGATTGGTTTAAGGGGTGTGCGTGCTGAACTACATGGTTTCCCAACACGTTTTATCAACCACCATGTGGGAGGGTCATCTGGCATCCCAGGTATTTCCCTGTCTCATGCTGATTGGTGGCTGCTAGGGGGTTACTATGGGTTTCCACCTAGCCTGACTGAGTCAGGGACACCTGGCGCAGCAGATCTCTCCTGTTATTTGTAGATAAACCACTTAGCAGGGTGGGAATGTGCCTAGGAGTGCTCTGTGGGTTTTTCCAAGGACAAAGGTCATGTCCCTTCCTTGGACAGGCTTTGCTCTGAGATAGAGGCTGGTTTTTCACTAAATAGGGATACAGATGTGACTCAGTGGTTGAATGCCCCCAAGTTCAATCCCCAGTACCCACCCACCCCCCCAAAAAAAAGACTCAGTATGGTGGCGTGCTCTTACAGTTCTAGCTACGCAGGAAGATAGAAAGTTTGAGGCAAGGCTGGGCAACTCAGACCCTGTCTCAAATAAAAGAATAAGGAAGAAAAAGACTGGGGACGTAGCTTAGAGGTAGAGTACTTGCCTAATATGCGCAAAGCCCTGGGTTCAATCACCCCATAACCACAAGAAAAGAAAGATTTCAACCAATAGGGATATAACTGAACAGTAGAGTGCTTACCTAGTATGTACTAGGCCCTGTGTTCAATAACCCTCATGGAGGTCAGGGGGTGGGGAGTAGTAGTATCCCCTCTCCCAAAAAAGAGAAATTCTGAACAATAATTTTTCACTCTTCTGAGATTTCAATTAATTGCTTAGAATTTAGGAAAATGTTAGTTCCTACTGCTAGGCTGGTGAGTGAATGAATTTGTTATTCCATTATTTAACAAATATGTATGGTAGACAATACAAATGAAGACACAAGTGAAAAACAGTGGCTTTTAAAATTGTTTCAGTTAATACAATTTGGGGTGAAGGAAATTAGCAAATTAATGACGTGACAATTTATGCAATGTATGTACAAAATATTTCAGACATAGAACTGCTCAAGTTGAGGCCAAGGAGATCAGAATTGACTTGACTTGAGAAGATAAAGCTAAATCAAAATCTTTCCCAGCAAATTATTCTTCCCCAGATCCTTCCAAGAGAATGTGACCCTAACAATACTTTCATTTCTGATTTCTGGCCTTCAGAACTGTGAGAGAAATTCTATCATTTTAGCCTTTCCACACCCCACCATAAAAGGTACATTTTAAAAGATACTACTGTTTAAAAAAAAAATACAGCTGTTTTATGATCCATTCAAATGACAGCATCAGGTGATCAAAAACTATAAAAATCTCACCCTGAGACAGGAATTTATGGATAGAATTTCTTTTTTTTTAAATACTGAACTTAAAAAGAGAAGCCCCCAGGAATAGTTGGCCATTAGTATGCTGGAAATAAACCTTTGGAAAGCAAAACAAGCAGCTTCAGAGACCCAGCCACATCCTTGTCCACAGAAAGTAGCCTGTGTGAGGACAATATGCCAAGGACAAAGAAAACTGGTGTCAAACTGTGTGACCCCATCCTGACTCCACCTCACTCCCTAGCTACTGTCCTCTATAATTTATGTGTGTGGAGAGGGTAGAAATGGGGGCTGAACTCAGAAGCATTCTGTCTTTGAGGTACAACACAAATTATTTTGAGACAGGGTCTCACTAAATTGCCCTGATGGCCTCAAATTTGGGATTTTCGTGCCTCAGCCTCACAAATCACTTGGATCACATGTGTACATGACTGTGCCTGTCTTCTATAAATATTAAGACACAAGACTAAGGGGTTACTTCTCACTAGAGATAGTGTAACAGTGGTCCACTTCATGCTTTGAATATAAGCCGCTGCAGTTAATTTTTTAAATGTACTTGTTTCTCTTCCTCTCCCCCCGGCTCCTCCCTAATCTCTACCCTTCTCCAATCTCAGGGAAGGGGAAGAACAAGATTATCTTTCTTCCGCATCCTAGACAGTTAACCTGTCCTTGAGCACACATCCACCTTGGGAACTAATTCAGACTTTGAGGATGGTACCAAAAGATCAGGGAAATGACTACTTCCCAAATTAACAAATGAATTACAACTCTACAGAGAACAGGAATGTAGCCTTGGAGTCACCTATTTAAAAAACCTCTGTTTCCCTTGAAGGGCAGAATCACAGCCTCTGGGGCAGAGTCCTCTGCGATTTTCCTATATTAGCAATGCAATAACCCTTTTTTTCCCCCCTTCTTCTCAAAACCATGTATTTGTTAGCATCCAGCAAAGCAACAACCTTTTCCCCCGCTTTTTCTCAAAACCATGTACTTGTTAGCATCCAGGACAAGGACCAAGCTTTCAGTAACAAAACCAGTAACCTGAAATAACTAGATGATAACCAATCTTTTACTTTCCTATTGTTCTGTTTCCCTGTGCGCACATTATAAGGAAGATAACTTTGTTCTGTTTCTGCTTTCTTTAGTTCTTCTGTGCTTATAAAACCAACCTCTTCTGCTCAGCTCACTGGAACACTTATTCTATTTTAAGAAATGAAGTGTTGTCCAGTTGGAACAACACTGGAAGTACAAAACAAAGTCAAACAAGATCTGTAAGCTAAATCTGTTATAATTTTGTTTTTTGACAACAGCCTATAACTAAAGTTGAGGATAAGGTTTTTCAAGTAATTGTTTTACCAGGGCTGAATTAGTCTAACCTCAAACAGCAGATAGTAGAGTATTAAAGAAAAATAAGTTTCTGAGCATTTGGAAATTAACTAAAAAACATATCAATATTTATTACACCAAAGCAATCATTCAGACAATGAAATAGTATTTTTAATAAAACAAAAATACCAACTAAGCACAAACTTTTTAAAACAAATTCTACCTTGTTAAACATTAAAAATCAGTAAGTGTTCTGGAGTCAAACAATTTTGTTAAAAGAACAAGTATAATTCAGTTTTTTAAAAAGTATAAATTGCCTGCTAATGTGAGGAAGCAAACTATTAAAATAGATTATTCTTATTTTGATTTACTTATTCAAAAATGATTCAAAGCAAACATTTCTTTTTCTGTAGATTTATAATATTTTCCCCTCTTCACAAAGAGTACTAAAGAGTATGCACAATCAGCCATAATATGTACAAATAGTCCTAGTCTCTCCAGTTATTTTTGAAAAACATAAAATAATACCTAATGCTAGCACCTAGTCGCTTCTTGAAGTCATTAAGATTTTAATTCTGTTCCTTGAATTATATTCCGAATCTTCTCAGCATCATTTTGCACAATTTTGTTAGCTGGATCAATCTTAAGTGCAGCTTCATAATCCTGTAGGCCTACGTTAAACAGCAATTATGATTAATAAGTAATTTATATGTATTTGTCTTATCTAGATGACATCTCCCCCGCACTAGTACTAGGCAAGTGTTCCACCTCTTAGTTACATCTCAGCAGCTCAGGAGGCGAGACAGGATGATAGCAAGTTCGAGACCAGCCTCAGCAATTTAGAGAGGCTCTAAACAACGCAGTGAGACCCTATCTCAAAATTACAAATAAAAAGGCCTGTAATCCCAGTGGCTGGGAGACTGAGACAGGAGGATCACAAGTTCAAAGCCAGCCTCAGCAAAAGCGAGGCACTAAGCAACTCAGTGGGACCCTGTCTCTAAATAAAATACTAAATAGGTATGGAGATGTGGCTCAGTAGCGAAGTGTTCCTGAGTTCAATTCCTGGTAACCCCCAACCCCCAGGAAAAAAGAAAGGCTGGGAATGTAGCTCAGTGGTAAATTGCCCCTGGGTTATATCCCCATTTCCCCCACCCAAATAAAATAAAAATAATAAAAAGTAACCTGTAATCCCCGTGACTCCAGAGATTGAAGTAAGAGGATAACAAATTCTAGGCCAGGTGAGCGCAGTGGCACATGCCTGTGATCTCAACCACTTGGAAGGTTGAGGAAGGAGAATCAGAAGTCCAAACCCAGCCTCAGCAATTTAGTGAGTGCCTAAGCAACTTAGGGAGACCTTGTCTCAAAATAAAAAAAAAATTAAAAGCGCTGGTGATGTGGCTCAGTGGTTAAGGGCCCCTGGTTTCAATCACAAGTACAAAAAAAAAAAAAAAAAAAATCTAGGGGCTGGGGATGTGGCTCAAGCGGTAGTGCGCTCGCCTGGCATGCGTGCGGCCCGGGTTCGATCCTCAGCACCACATACAAAGATGTTGTGTCCGCCGAAAACTGAAAAAAAAAAAAATCTAGGCCAAACTGGGTGAGCCCCTATCTTAAAATAAAATATAGAAGGACTGGGGAATGTAGCTCGGTGGTAAACAACCCCTGGGTTCAATCCCCAGTGCTGAAAAAAAAATTAAATTAAAATTAGAAAAAGAGGGGCTGGGGCTGGGGCTGGGGTTTAGCAGTAGCAAACTTGCCTGGCATGTGTGAGGTACTGGATTCAATTCTTAGCACCACATATAAATAAATAAAGGTCTATCAAAAACTAAAAAAAAAAAAAAATTAATTAGAAAAAGAAAAGAAACCATATAAAGTATGATTCAGGACAATCCCTAGGTTTCAAATCAGTTTTCCATCTTCCATAGTACCTATGAGACTAGAAATTTTTCAGTGATTTGGGGAATAATCATGATTTCATTCAGGGTTCAATAAGAAGCAGTTATTTTAAATTCAAGCACAAATAAGCTAACAGCTTAAGTCATTAACATTTGAATAAACTCAATAAAATTTACATACCCAAAGTCTACTTTTATCACTTCAATGAAAAAAATAATAAATATATCTTACTTAGATATATTTCTAGATTTTTCTTTTTGGCAGAGCAGGGGATGTTGAGATTTGAACCCAGGCCTTTTCACATGCTAGGAAGATGCTCTAACACTAAGCTACAGCTCTGATCTGAAACTCAATTGATATTTATACTCACAGAGTACACTATAGTATGTGCTTTTTTTTTCTGTAGTTATCTACAGTAAAGTTCTTTAAGGAAAATTTGTTTCAAAGAAAAACACTGTGGATTATTTAATAAGAAGAAGTAACTCCATCTCAATCTTTATCCAAAAAGCAAATGGAAAGAATATTTGGGGGGGAACAAGGAAAACTCAGTTCTAGTTCCAAGTGTCTGCTATGCCACTCACTTCAGGCAAATTACTTAACTTCTGCCATCCTCTATTTTTTCATCTTAAAAAAGAGGGTTCCCTGTAGCGCAAAAATATCTAGGTTGCTATAATTTCTTTCTTTCTCCCTCTTTACATAATGTTTTATTTTATTTATTTTTTAACTTATTTATTTATTTATTTTGAGTACTGGGGATTAAACTCAAGGGCCCTCAGTTGCCCAGGCTGGCCTAGAATTCACAATGACTCAGACACCCCAATATCTAGGACTGCCAGCATCCACTACTGTTCCCAGTTTCATGTTGATACTTTTTCATTCTCTTTCTCTCTCTCTCTCTCTCTCTCTCTCTCTTTTGGTACCGGGAATTCAATCCAGGGACACGTTAGCTACATCTCCAGCACTTTTTTACTTTTTTATTTTGAGACAGGGTCTCACTAAGTTGCTGAGGCTGGCCTCAAACTTGCGATCCTCCTGTTTCCTGCCTCCTCCTGAGTTGCTGTGAATACAGGCATGTGCCACCACATCAGCTTCATGTTGTTATACTTTCTAAAGAGTTCTTTACATTCCCGTCTTGATTATTATTATCCATATGAAGTTGGATATGATATTTAAAAAAATGTGGCATATAAACCTAATTTGGATAAGACATTAAAAAGGGATGTAGCATATAAACCTAATTTGGATACTTTGGTTAGAAAAATGATAGAATAAAATTTAATAACAAAATCAGAAATAAAATGTACAGGCTGAAGCTCATTTCTTGGAAATGCATCATTAAGAAGCAGCCTTTAATCGCTGAGTAAAGGGAAGCTAAATGGGCATCTGGATAAGGAGGCATGAGAAGAGGAATGTTGAAGGTAAACTTTTTGGTATTGAACCAGGGCCTCATGCATGCTGGGTAAGTGCTCTTGTGACCTAGCCACCTCCCAACCCTTCTAAATATATTAAAAATGAAAGAATTAGCCACGCATGGTACTCAGGAGGCCGAGGCAGGAGGCTTGCAAGTTCAAAGTCAGCCTCAGCAATTTAGCAAGGCCCTAAGCAACTCAATGAGAATGAGACCCTGTCTCTAAATAAACACAAAAAGGCTGGGGTTGTGGCTCAGTGGTTAAATGCCCCTGAGTTCCATCCCTGGCACCAAAAAAAGAAAGAAGGAAAAGAAAAAGTTAAAATAAAAGAAATTCTATGACTTCTAAATGCCTTGGGTTAAATTATGGACCTTAGTAGAGTATCACAAAGAAAAGCAATGTTTATAAATTGTGATAGATAATTTCTGAGTTTGTGTGGGCATGTGCGTGCACATGCATATGTGTATGCTTATAAAGTATAAAATATACACACACTGTTTTTTGTGGGGTTTTTTTCCCACTAAGCATTGAACCCAAGAGAGCTCTATCACTGAACTATATTCCTAGCCCTTTATATTTTTTATTTTGAAACAAGGTCTTACTAAATTGCCAAGTAGCTGCAAACTCTTGAACCTACTGCCTCAGACTCCTGGATTGGTGGGATTACAGACATGTACCCCTGTGCCAGGCAGGTCTGACTATCTCAAGTGAATCATTTATACAGTTTATTACATATCTATCTATAGAAATATTGTCTGATAATACAGCATGTTCCCAGACCTAAACTCATTGTTCACATCTTGTTCTAATTCTCTTCTACAATTAATTTCTTTATTTACTTATTTATTTTTGCAATGCTGGGTACCAAACCCAGAACTAGGCAAGCACTCTTCTACTCTACCACTCTACTACATCCCCAGCCCTACAATGAACTTTTAAAATATAATTTCAAAATAACTTTTTATTTAATCAGATAGGTTGCAAAGAATAAATTAAATGCTAAAAATCTTTTTAAAATGGAGTCCTAAAAACTCATGATCCCAGCTGGGCATGATGGCACATATCTATAATCTCAGCTACTTGGGCAGTCTGAGTTAGGAGGATCGCCAGTTCTAGGCCAACCTGGACAATTTCTTGAGACCTTGTTTCAAAATTTAAAAAAAAAAAAATTAAGGGCTGGAGATGTAGTTCAGTGGTGGACCACTTGCCTAGCATATGTGAAGCCCTGGGTTCAAATTCCAGTATGAAAAAACAATCATGATCTTTTAATAATCCCAATGACTTTTTTATGAGAGTAGATGTGAATGTTAAAACATTTCTACAAGCTGGACACAGTATCACATGTACCTGTCAGCTACTGAGGAGGCTGAGACAGGAGGATCACAAGTTCTAAGCCAGCTTGACAATTTAGTGAGCCCTCATCTCAAAATAAAATTTAAAGGATTAGGGCATAGGTCAGTGGTACAGCAGTTGCCTAGCATGTATGAGGCTCTGGGTTCAATCCCCAGTATGGCAAAAATAGAGAAAGCAAACAAAACCCATTTTCTATCAATTTTTTACCTTCTACATACAATTCCAGTTGACAGAATGCTGTTCCACGTCGTACATGTGCCTTCATTCTTGCATTAGCATTGTCTGCAACATGTGGTGTCAGTAACTCCAGAGCCTTACAAAACACATACATAATTAACAAGATAAAGACATAACTTCCTAATTTAAACTTAAACAAAAACATGGTAAAAATATGAACTTCAAAACATGCCTTAAGCCTTCACCCACTTAAATTTTTGGCTTAGCAGATACAGTAATTTATAAAATACATACATTTATGTTAAACAATTTAAGGAATTCTTCAATTATTTCTGTATGGGATTATACTCCCTCACGGAATGATTTGTTTTCTTTGGTGCATGCACCTTTACTAGCAGGAATGATTAAGTAGCATTTGGGATCTTTTGTATTTGGATTGGGTGACTCAGTTTATTCTTTCATTCAATAAATATTTGTGCACAAAATTGTGTTAGTCAAAGGAAAGCTGGATTGAAAAAATATTATAAGTTCAAAGTTTGAAGATATGCTTTTTTCTTCCATATCCTCAATCTCAAGGAGCCACATACAAGACTTTGCTTGTGACATGCTCAATAAAAGAAGTTACCTTGATATGGAAAAAAAGAAAAAGCTGTAGAGTTTAAGATAGTCTAATTGACTCTAAAAATGAAAAAAATGATTATGGAAATATTCTTTTACTATGCAAATGGCAGAAATAACAAAGGAATACTAAGTGTTCTTCCTTGTACCTGTAAAACTTTAATAATAAAACAGCACAACTGACAACCTTTTACCAATTTCCTTATGAATTCCAACTGTTATGCCATGCTAATGCATAATAATAATTGAAGGTGATTTCTAATCTAACTCAAAATTTTTTAAAAATGCCATTTCATAGTCCATTTTTTAAAAAATTATTTTAAAAAGTAATAAGGCAAGACAATTCTTTAAATCCTTGAGATTCAATTGTTTAAATTTAAAAATAGAAAAAAAAAGCATAATTTCCTTCCTTCCTCTTTTTGTTGTAGTTGTGTTGAATGTCCTCTACCATATATCCCCAACCAAGAGCTTTATTTATTTATTTATTTTAATTTATTATATATGATAGAATGCATTACAATTCATATTACACATATAGAGCACAATTTTTCATATTTCTGGTTGTATATAAAATATACTCACACCATTCATGTCTTCATACATGTACTTAAGGTAATGAAGTCCATCACATTCCACCATCTTTTTTACCCTCCCTTCCCCTCCCACCCCTTTGCCCTATCTAGAGTACCTCTATTCCGCCCATGCTCCCTCTCCCAACCCCACTATGAATCAACCTCCTTATATCAGAGAAAAAAATTGGCATTTGTTTTTTTGGGATTGGTTAACTTCACTTAGCATTATATTCTCCAACTCCATCCATTTACCTGCAAATGCCATGATTTTATTCTCTTTTATTGCTGAGTAATATTCCAATGTGTATATATACCACATTTTCTTTATCCATTCATCTATTGAGGGACATAGAGGTTGGTTCCACAGTTTAGCCTTTGTGAATTGTGCTGCTATAAACATTGATGTGGCTGTGTCCCAGTAGTATGCTGTTTTTAAGTCTTTTTGGTATAGACGGAGGAGTGGGATAGCTGGGTCAAATGGTTGTTCCATTCCCAGCTTTCCAAGGAATCGCCATACTGCTTCCGTATTGGCTGCACTAATTCCAATAAATAGGAGAATAACAATTTTGTGAATGTGTGCTGGGGATAGAACACAGAGCCTCACACACAAGGTCACTAATCTATATACCCATCCACAAAGGATAATAATTTTAAACCACCATATATAAATAAATAAATAGATAAATATATACCTTAGAAGAATCTTCAATGGCCTTGTGTAAGTTTTTTAGTTTTAGGTGGCAAGCAGCCCGATTCAAATATAATAGAGGAATCTTGTTATTCAGTCTTATGGCTAAATTGTATGCATTAATAGCTGCCAAATAGTCCTCTGTTGCAAACAATTTGCTAATAAAACAAAAATGGAAAAGAAAGACAAAATAACATTGAAACAGAAACAGAGAAGTAATATCAATTATATTTGGCAGAGGGGATGGCTTACCTCCTTTTTTATTCCCTGCAGGATGGACATTGTTGATTACACTTACTATTTCTCCACACACACAGCATCCAACCTGAAAAGGAGGGGTTTCACCTCCCTCCCCAAAAGTAGTCAACAATAGGTTAAGCCAGTAAGCATATTTTCATCCTTCTTGCTATAATGATTGATTCAAGGATGGGCTTGTGACTTAAGTTGGTATATTCTGAATGAAGCTATGATTTTGGTTTCAAAGTTGGAGAAAAGTTGAGAAAACTCCCCATGCTCGATGTGCATGAGGAGACCTAGATTGTTGCTGTTCATTTTTTCTTTTTTTTTTTTTTTCAGTACTGGGGATCAAACCCAGGGCCTCATGCATGCTAGACAAGTATTCTGCCACTAAGCCACAGCCCTACTGTTCATTTTTAACACACTAGGAAAAACTACATTTAGAATAAAGCTGATATAATGGAAATATAAAAAGAATTAAAAGGCAGAAAGAAACTCCGTCTTTTGTGATACAGGTAAGGGATTAGATCAAGCTTTACCTGAAATGCGAAATGCATTTATTATTTTGCTTATAAAAGCAAATGCATTCCTTTTAATAAAAAGCCAGTATTATAGTCGGGCCTGGTAGTTCACTCCTGCAATCCTAGCTACGCAGGAGGATTGAAAGTTCAAGGCCAGGGCTGAGGTTGTGGCTCAGCGGCAGAGTGCTTGCCTAGCACTCTGGGTTCGATCCTCAGCACCACATAAAAATAAATAAATAAAGGTTTTGTGTCCCACTACAAAAAATAAATATTTTAAAAAAAGAAAGAAAGAAAAAGAAAGTTCAAGGCCAGCCTCAACAACTTAGGGAGACTCTGCCTTAAAAAAAATGTATTTTTTTTAATGATGGGAGATACAGGTCAGAGCACTTGCCTAAAGTGTGAAAGGTCCTGGGTCTAAACTCTAGTACAAAAAAGAAAAAAAAAGCCAGTATCAGTGTATCTTATGAAAGTACATCAACCAATACAACTTAGCACTCAGAACAGAATAAGGACAGGCATGATGCATACTAAATAAAATGACAAGTTAGGCCATACTAGGTACTGTACTTATAGAGTTTTCCAGAGAAAAAGAATTAAAAGGACATATACAGTTATGTACCACATAACAATGTTTCAGTCAATAATGGATTACACATAAAATGGTTGTTTCTTAAGATTATTATCACCTAGTGATGTCATACCCATCTGAGTTTGTGTAAGAATACTCCATGATGTTCACATAATGACAAAATCATCTAATGACATATTTCTCAGAACATATCCTGGTCATTAACCAATTCATGACTTATAGATGTATAGAAAAAAATTCATTATGAGGGATTGGCTCATACAGTTATGGAGGCTGAGAAGTCCCAAGACCTGGCACCTGCAAACTAGACACCAAAGAAAACCAGTGGTATAGTTCTAATGAAAGCCCAAAGCCTGAGACCTAGGGGAGCCAATGGTATAAACCCTGGGTGTGAAGGCCTGAGAACAACTGTGCTGATGGCCAAGAGCAAAAGATGGGTGTCCTAGCACAAAAAGAATAAATTTGTCCTTCCTCTGACTTCTATAATGTCTCATTGCAAGGCAAGATTTGTCAGCTTTGCTTGTAATACTCTTATGAAAAAAAAAATTGTTTTCCTTAAGATTGGCCTTCCTCAACTTTGGTGCAAAACCTCTTTGTATACAGCACCCACCTGGGCTCACCTCTGTATTGACTTGATGGGCAAATGGAGCAGCCAACATGAAGCTCATGCTACTTGCTGTGTCTTGCATAATAATATCCATTGTCTCTGGCCTCCGTGAGACTTCTGTGTTGTTGTTAGTGTGTGTGTGTGTGTGTGTGTGTGTGTGTGTGTTTCATTTTTTATTTTTTGTTTGCAGTATTGGGGTTTAAATCCAATGGCACTCTACCACTGAACTACATCCCCATCCTTTTATTTATTTATTTATTGGTACTAGGAATTGAATCCAGGGGTGCTTAAACACTGTGCCACAACCACAACCCTTTTTATATTTTATTTTGACAAAGGGTCTCACCAACATTGCTCAGGACCTCACTAAATGGCTGAGGCTGGCTTTGAACTCATTATTCTCCTGCCTCAGCCTCCCTAGCTGCTGGGATTACAGGCATGTGCCACCACACCCGGCCTTTTTAATTATTTATTTCGACATAGGATCTCACTTGTTTTGTCTAAGCTGGCTTGGAACTTGCAATTCTCCTGCCTCAGCCTCCTGCGTCACTGAAATTACAGGAATATGCCACATCCAGCTCAATCTCTTGTGTTCAAGAGTGTGGTGGGCTAATCCCTCATAGTTCTTGTAGAGGCATAGACCCAAACTAAAGTATTGTAAGAAATTCAATTTGGAAAGTAGAAACTGTGTACTATATTGGGAGCAAATAGTAACAGGTGGTTAAGAATCTGCATGAAAAACCAGGAGGTTAAAGCAGAAGGATCACAAGTTTGAAGCAAGCTTCAGCAACTTAGCAACCTGTTTCAAAATTAAAGTTAAATTTAAAAAATTTTTAAATTAAAGGGGTTGAGGATGTTGCTCACTGGTACAGCACTTGCCTAGCATGTTCAAGGATTTATATTTAGTTCCCAATAATGCAAGAAAAAAAAGTCCAATGTAAAGTAAAAGAACATCCAACAAGCAGATGGAATCCAGCTGCAGAAAATTCAGAAACAGCAAAAGCAAAAAGTCTGACTAGCATAAGTTGGCACTAGAAGCAAGGAGCAGTTTCCCACATACTAAACTGGGATTTGGAATCATAATTACCCTGGGTGGCAAGAGGAAAAGCAAAAGCAAAGCACAGCCTCAATTTTAAAATGACTGGGTTTTTAGGTAGACTACAAAACCTGACACTTAGAGAAAATTTAAAAAAAAAATTTAGACACTAGAGTTTGGGTAGAAGGTAAATTTACATAGCAACAATAATAAGATGCTAGATGCTAGACTGTAGAGTTATATATATATATCCTAATATCCTCTAATGTTAGAATTTGAGAGTGTGAGGTATGCAGATGGGATTCGAGTGACCCTAATATGGGGAAAGAAGAGATTTTAAGTATATAGCACAAAAAAACTCATGCTAAATATCAAGCACAAAGTAATGTCAAAGGGATAAAACAATGGTTCATCTCTCTCATATGACATAGGTATCTGGAAAAGTAGTTATTAAAGTTATTTACCAATTCTGAGCCATATATACCTATTAAATAACATCATACCATGTATATACTTATATTAGAACACACAGACTATTTTATGTGAGATGTTCTCAATAAAGTTATTCAGGCCAGGTGTGGTGGCATATACCTGTAATCGTATCTACTCAGGAGGCTGAAGCAGGAGAATTGCAAGTTCATGGCAAGGCTGAATTCAGCAAGACCCTGTCTCAATATTTTAAAAATTTAGCTGGGCGAGGTGGTGTACACTTGTAAAAATCCCAGCAACTTGGGATGCTGAGGCAGGAGGATCATGAGTTCAAAGCCAGCCTCAGCAACTTATCAAGGCCCTAAGCAACTCAGTAAGACCCTGTCTCTAAATAAAATACAAAAAAGGGTGGGGATGTGGCTCAGTGGTTGAGCACCCCTGGGTTTAATCCCTGGTACAAAATTTTTTTTTTTTTTTTAATTTAGCAGGACATAGTGGTCCAAGCCTGTAATCCCAGCAACTTGGGAGGCTAAAGCAAGAGGATTGCAAGTTCCAAGCCAGCCTCAACAATTTAGCAAGGCCGGGCTGGGGATGTGGCTCAAGCGGTAGCGCGCTCCCCTGACATGCGTGCGGCCGGGGTTCGATCCTCAGCACCACATACAAACAAAGATGTTGTGTCCGCAGAGAACTAAAAAAAAAATTAAAAAATTCTCTCTCTCTCTCTCTCTCTCTCTCTCTCTCTCTCTCTCTCACTCTCTCTTTAAAAAAAAAAATTTAGCAAGGCCCTCAGCAACTCAGTGAGACCCTGTCTTAAAAAAATAAAAAATTCTGAGTATGTACTCAGTGGTAAAGTACCCCTCTCTCCAGTGTAAATAATAATAATAATAAAATTTAAAAAGGGCTGGGCATGTAGCTCAGTGCTAGAGCACTTTCCAAGCATGCATGAGGCACTGGTTTCAATCCTCAGTACCACAAAGAGAAAGAAAAAAAAAAAAAGGAGCTATCCACAATACTATTTGCAAAGGTAAATACTTTCATGAGCAAATAAAATCACTTGATTTTTATATATATATATATATATATATATATATATATATATATATATATATATATATATATATAAATAATATATATAATACCTTTTTAAAGGTAGCTCTGGTGTTTAAGACACAGCAGTAGAAGGCTAGGTAAAGAAAGATGAAAACATTCTGTTTTTTTCTAAGAATGCTTTCACGTGTTGTGGAACAGGTACTGGGAATTGAACACAGGGGCCTCACATACTTGCTAGGGAAGCACTCTACCACTGAGCTATATATCCCCAGCATATTTATTTATTTATTTTAAATTTTCTTTCTTTTTTAAAAATATCTTTTTAGCTGTAGATGGACACAATACCTTTATTTTATTTTTATGTGGTACTGAGGATCAAACCCAGTGCCTCCCACACACGAGGCGAGCACTCTACCACTGAGTTAAGACCCCAAGCCCCTTTTTATTTTTTGAGACAATCGGGTCTCACTAAATTGTGATCTTTCTGCCTTAGTCTCCCTAGGCACTGGGATTACAGGCATGCAGTAACCCCAGCCCATTTTTTGTTTTATATTTTCAGACAGGACCATGTTATCTTTGGACACTGGTCAAAAAGCAAACCTCTCCCTGTCTTCCTACCAAAGTTCCTATTTGTGGCCTTTTCCAACCCTTAGTCTCTGCACTTTCTCCCTCCTGTTTCTGCTACATCT